ACCCGAGCAGCAGAAAATGCTGGAACCCTGCTCTGCAGAGCTCTGTCCCGGGGCAAGAACTAAGAACAAGAGGGCCAAGGACCGGTGTAGGGTCAGCGTGTGGACAGAGAATGGATCCGGGATGGAAGAGGCCCCGCTGTGCCAGGTGGCCGCTGTTGAACTTGGGCTCCTAGCTGAACCTCTGGGTCTGCTTCTTCATCCACAAAACAGTCCAGAGCACCTGCCCAGCCTGCTTTACAGGGCTTTTCTGGGGATTAATAAGGATTCTGGGTGTGAATAGGCTGTGTGAGCTGACAAAGCTCTAGGCAGGCGCGAGGGATTACTATTCTCATCTTCGTTAGTTCAGCATGAGAACCACATCTGCTAACTGCTGAGCTGCATCCGCCCATTAGCTTGAGGTTGTGACTAATTGTTTTTTAATGAAAAAAAAATTAGATTTGCTTAATGTTTTGTGAGTCATGCAAGTAAACATCTCTATACCAAGAATATCTCGCTTTCAAAGACTTGGCCTGCCCATCCATTTGCAGCTGAGAAGAGGTCAGATGGGACCCTCTTTCCCGAGGGCCGGCCACGTGCTCTGCAAATCCCGCAGCAGAGCGCAGGGTCAACGAGGTGGTCTCTGCCCTCACGGGGCTGGTGAGGGCTGGCTGCGCAGGCGCTGTCTGCCACCAGGCAAGGCAGGGCCCATGGGGCAGGCACACACCAAGGGCTCCCATAGCAAATGCCGAGCAGGGTCCTGGACTCCAGCTGCAGTTGCAATTCAGCGGCAGCTATGGGAGCCTGAGTCTCACCTGGGAGACTCTGTGCAGCAGGCTGGGGGGTGGGGGAGCATTTGGGCTGGGCCTTGGACAAGACACAGGATCCTGCCCTACAAGGACATTCCAACATGGCCATTGGCCTGAGCTAACGTGCAGGAAAACAGGGCAGAGAACACCTAACAGAAACCCTTGAAGAGCTCTTGATCCACTGGAGAAGAAAAGAAAAATAGGAATATAAACATTTTGTGGGCAGAGTCAAGGGCCAAAGGCAGGGTGTGTGTAGCAGGGGGAAGGGGAGCGAGTTCCAGTGCCACCCAGGACACAAGGCTGGGCTGTTAGGCACGTGGCTGTGCCTAACAGATACCCTGCTCCTACTGGTGCTCAGATGCTGGTGGGCTGGACTCCGCTCTCCCACCCTGTGCTGGGTCAGGCCCCGCCATCTCTCTCTCCAGGCTGTTTCATAGCCTCCCCTCCCCAGCTCCTGCCTCCTGGACCACCCATCCTCCAATCCAGCACCCACACTATCCATTATGCTCCTGAAGTCCATGAAGCCCCAGCCCCCCAAACTCCACTGCCTACAGGAGAAGCCCAGGCCCCTCGGCCTAGCATCCAAGACCCTTCACGGTCTGGGCAGCACTTCCAGCCAAAGCTCCTCGGACATCCTTTCATTTGCCCTGTGACCAAGTTACACCAGACAATTGTCACGCCCTGGACACACCGACCATTTTAGCATAAATACATTTACCTACCCTGACCCCTCTGCCTAGAATGCTAAAGAGAGCGGGCTCTGGGGTTTGAATCCCAGCAGCATGATCTCAGGCGAGCTACTTAACGTTTTCGTATATCCGTTTCTCCATCTGTGAAATAAAGAAAATGGGACCCACCTTCTAGGTTTATTATAGAGATCAAATGAATTCAAACGAGTAGTTTAGATCAGCTCCCAGTACATAGTAGATGCTCAAAAACATGTTAACTGCTGTTAGAATCAGTGGAGTGAAACTCTTAGAGGTTTAGTTTGATGTCATTTGTGTAAACAATGAATTGCTTCTCCTTCCAGGCATGTGGGTACTGTCATGGTGTTTTCTCATTCTCTAGTGATGGAAATCCAATAGCACGTGGCTGTGCCTAACAGATACCCTGCTCCTACTGGGTGCTCAGTAAGTGTGACTATCTGGGTCTGGGCTGGGGGCCCTGGAGGCTTCCCAGGCACAGTCTCCTGTGTCTGCAGGGGTCAGGATGACCTCAGTTATGCTGTGGCAAATGACCTCCAAATCTCAGTGGCCTCCAACACCAGAGGTTTATTTCTCAGTCACACTGTGTGTCCCTCACAGGTTGGTGAGGGCTCCACACCACGTTGTCCTCACTTAGGGACTGACACTGACAGAGCCTCCACTCTCTGGGACACCGCTGGTCACTTGCGGCAAACAGAAAGGAGCATGGCAAACAGCACACTGGCTCCTAAAGACTTCTGCCCGGAAGTGACACACATGTCACTGTTCACATTTCACTGGCCGAAGCGGATCAGGTGGGAAAGTGCAACCCTACCATGTGCTTGTAGCCTCAGGAGATTGAGCCCGGCCCTAACGGGACAGCAACAGGAGTTCACCACTTGAAGAGCATGCTGGCCTCAAACACACACTGGCACCTCCAGGGACAAAGGGCAGAAGCAGTGAGTGGTTGCAACTGGAGGCAGCTGGACTCAACCCCCCACCGCCACAGAGGCTCCAGGCCATGTGCATTGGCAGCAAGACTGTTAGTTGACAAGCTTGGACAGAGGTAGAGTGGACATGCGGTCTGGAAAGGGAACAGAGAGTTCCAGTGCCACCCAGGACACAAGGCTGGGCTGCCTAGGCTTGCAGGACATCCATGCGGTTCCTAACCTTGTATTTACAGACCCCATCCACAGCACCCTGGGCATGTAAGACAGGCTGCCTCCCCGAGGTCAGAGGGCCTGGCTCCCCCTGAAAGACAGCAGGCAGGGCTCTCTGTTAGCCCTCACAATCCCCCTCCCTCTCATGCAGCCGTCCTCAGGGGCTCCAATACGAGGGCGGATGACTCATTCTGGCTGAGAAAACAATTACAGTTGTTTTATCATTATCTACCCTCCATATCTCCCTATGGGAGATGTGTTCCAAGACCCCCCAGTGGATACCTGAAACCAAGGATAGTACTAAACCCTATATTTACACCATGTTCTTTCTATGCATACATACCTATGCTAAAATTTAATTTATAAATTAGGCACAATAGGAGACTAACAACAATAACTAATAATAAACTAGAGCAATTACAGCAATATACTGTAATAAAAGTTATGCAATGTGGCCATAACGTTTGCAGTTTGAGGTGTGACAGCAAAACTAGCACAAATTTCTTTTTCCTTCTTCACAATTTCCCACATAGATCTTCTCACAGTTGATCATAGCAATCTTACTTAAGCACATGATTTTTTCTTTCCACTTTTTCACTTAATGCAAGTGGTTCATGGCTTCTCTTTGGCATATCCGATCGGCCAGCATCACTACTCTCACACTTTGGGGCCCTTAGGAAGTAAAACACAGGTTCCTTGAACACAAGCACCGCAATACCACGAGAGTCAATCTGATAACCATGCTGGCTACTGAGGCAAAGTGACTAAGAAGCAAGTAACATCTCCAGCATGGATCTGCCAGACAGAGGGATGGTTCACATCCTGGGTGGGGCTGAGGGGATGGCGAGAGATTTCATCACACTACTCAGAATGGTGCGCAACTGAAAACTTAGAAATTTGTTTCTGGAATTTTCCATTTAATATTTTCAGACTGTGGTTGACCTCAGATAATGGAAACCGCAAAAAGTGAAACTGCAGATAGGAAGGGACTACTGTATACAGCGTTCCTGAGTGATCTGCAACTGCCTGTCCTGGTAGAACACTGGAGCAAGGCTGTTCTCGGGACAACTTACAGATGCTCCCCCAGAGCTATGTTCAACCTCCCGGAACAAGCTCCATGGCTGTGCCATAACTTAGTCTTCCCAAAGCAGAGAGGTGTGTGTTTTAATAATGGCACAAGGCTCTAAAGGAATGAAATTCAATAAGCATGGTCAGACATTTGCCTTCCTTGAAGAGCTTCAGACAATCACATAATTTGTAAAATGACATAAAAGAAAATATTGACTGCTTCCCAAAACCACAGTTGCCTGGGTGCCTCAGAGCCAGGCCTGCCTGAGCCTGGGATTCTTTGGGCATCTGGAAGCAGATGCAGTGATAGTGGCCCTCTCCTGGAAGCCATTCCACAGCCATCCCTGCCCATCCGTGTAAGACTTGAGATGCTCTGGGGCCCTACAGTGATGCCGGCTCACACGGAGGCTTCTTCTGAGCCAGGAACGCACGATGGGCCAGTAAGGCCCACACCAAGTGAAAAAGGAGCTGGGGCCTGTGGGATAAGGGGTGCTTTCTGATAAAACTGGCCACCCCCCCTGGCAGGAGTCTGCCTGGCTGTGTCCCTTCCCGTGAAGCTTCTCGGGGTGTGCAGAGGCAAAAGCACACGGCTGCACAGACACACTCCTGGAAAAGGGTCCTGTCCATGCCTTGCCAGATTCTTGGGAGCAATGTGTCAAATGGCGCTGGCTGTGCCATCCACCTTTCCTTGCCTGTGATGTGCCTCCAAGCCACTTGTGTTGTGAGGACCTTGGGCAGCCCCAGTGCACCAGGGGGTAAGTACACACAGCAATCGCCTCTTGGCCTTTGGCTAAGATCAAGTGTAGTACACACAGCAAGAGGCCGGCACAGACCTCTGCATCGTAATCTGAGCCAGCCTGCTTTACTACGTTTATGTTACCCCGTGCCCCAGCTAAACAGCAGTGCCCGGGGGGATGAGGCTGGGAATGGGGCCTCCAGCCACATGGTACAAGCCAGTAGGGAAGGGTTTTTCCAGCACTGCATGTGACCCAAGGCTGGGCTTCATGTTTCTAAAAACAATAATCCAAAAGTTGGACATGGGGTGGCTCTTCTTTTCTTACTCGGAGTGACAGCCACCAGACTTTTTGGTGTCTGAAGTTCACATTTATTTTCTCTCTGTCTACAAGTGAACCAGAGATGATCAGGAGGCTGGGCTACTGTTCAGGCATGCATTCTCTCTCTCTCTCTCTCTCCCCCACGCACACACACACTCACATTTCCCAACAACTCCCGGGTGGGTCTCTTTTAGAAGGCACTGGTTTGGATCTGGTTGGTGACTCCTGGCTGCATTATTAGAGTATGTCTTGAGGGTAAGTTCTCATTCATGGCGGTGCCTTGTGACAAGCATTGCTTAAAAGCTGTCCACAGAAGTGTCCAGGAAAAGGATGATCCAGAGATGGTTTTAGGAATGTTAATTGGGTAAAATTCACAGCAGTCCTTTGGCCAAAGAGTTGGCTAAGACTTCTGGTTGAGGTTTTTCTGGAGCATGACCAGAGCTGCCCCGACAGCCGCGTCCACGTCCTGCCCAAAGGCCACCGGCAAAGGGAAGGCCCTCTGCACCTCCTGCTTCAGCACCTCGTTCCTGGACAGCGCGCTCCCACTGCCCATCACCCGCTCCACACCCCACTCTTGCAGCTGCTGAAATGGGAGCATGGAGTGCAGGTTCTGAACGATGCCTCGGCACAGGGCACGGGTCACGTGCCCCAGGGAGAGGTCAGAGGAGGAGATTCTGGTCACTGAGGCCAGCTCATCCGGCAGGTGCCTCTCCCCCAACACTGTTGGGGTGATGGTTAGGCAGGTGTCTCTCTGCTGCACAGCTGCCTGGATCATGCGTGAATACACAGTGGATTCTTCAACCTCCAGGCCTGCCAGAGACAGAGAAGATCTGTGTGAGCTCACACAGCCCCTTGACGCAGGTTGAAGATGGTATAGAATTCCCATGGGGCATGAATAGGTCTACTTCCTGCTTCTCCTCCCACTGTGGCTGGCAGCTTCTGGGCTCAGGGACTCATCTAGTCAGGCTAGCTACACTCTCCCCTAGATCCTGGCCAGGTGTCTCACTACAAACCCCAGCCAGACATCAGGGAGATATCCTGTCATGTTGCCGCAAGCCCTCACCCTAACCCAGCTTTCTTAACAAAGGGATCAAATGCACTGATTCATAAGTATCATGACAGCTGCTAGTAGTCATTAGGAGCATCACAGAAATCCCAGGGTCCCAGGCTGATCACAGTCTAGGCCACACTTGTTCTTCTTTCTTTTTTTTTTTTTTTGAGACAAAGTCTCATTCTGTTGCCCAGGCTAGAGTACCATGGCATCAGCCTAGCTCATAGCAATCTTGAACTCCTGGGCTGAGATGATCCTCCTGCCTCAGCCTCCCAAGTAGCTGGGACTACAGGCACGTGCCACCATGCCTGGATAATTTTTCTAATTTTAGTAGAGACAGGATCTCACTCTTTTTTTTTTTTTTTTTTTTGAGACAGAGTCTCACTTTGTTGTCTGGGCTAGAGTGCCGTGTTCAGCCTAGCTCACAGCAACCTCAAACTCCTGGGCTCAAGCGATCCTGCTGCCTCAGCCTCCCAAGTAGCTGGGACTACAGGCATGCGCCACCATGCCCGGCTAATTTTTTCTATATATATCAGTTGGCCAATTAATTTCTTTCTATTTATGTTACAGACGGGGTCTCGCTCTTGCTCAGGCTGGTTTCGAACTCCTGACCTTGAGCAATCTGCCCGCCTCGGCCTCCCAGAGTGCTAGGATTTCAGGCGTGAGCCACCACGCCCGGCCAGGATCTCACTCTTGATCACGCTGGTCTCGAACTCCTGAGCTCAAGCGATCCTCCTGCCTTGGCCACCCAGAGTACTAGGATTACAGGCGTGAGCCACCGCGCCCAGCAACCTAAGCCACACTTGTCATATGCACAGGGCACCTGAGGCCCAGGGAAAAGGGATGTGTTGACTCTGGGGTCAAGCCAGAGTCCCGGTCAGATTTCCCCACACACACTATGTTAGCTCTGTATTCTGAAAAAAAGAAAAAAAAGGAGGCTTTTGGTTTCAATACACTTTGACCTTAGAATAACTTTTTATCTCTAACATGCCATTAACCTAGGGAAAGCAAACATGGACTTAATAATCAGAGGAAAGTTATAAAGATTGGAGACTTGTCACTGATGTAGCACACTGGAATCTTCTAAGAAGCTGTAAAAGCACCGCGGGCTCCATCCTCAGACTTTCCGATTTAACTGGTCTGGCCTGCAGCCTGAGGGCTGGGAGAGCCCTCCAGGGTGCTGGAGGGCATAATCACACTCCCCAGGTGATTGTGACCTGCAGCCAGGCTGGAGAGCCACCAGCCCAGACCAGTGTGAGCGAATCGAGTAGGAATCTAAGTAAAATGCAGCTTCTGACTCAGCATGCCTGGCTCGACCCTGAGACTCTGCATTTGTTCAAAGCTCCAGAGGAAGCTGTACTGCTGGGCTGCGGAGCACCCTTTTTCAGAAGAAAGTTCTAGAGCAGTGCTTATCAACATTCACAGGCATCAGAATCACCTGAGGAACTTTCATAAAATGTCATGCTCAGGCCCCATATGCCCAGGCCAAATAAATCAGCATTTCTGGGCATGGCACTAGGATGTCAATACTGCTTTCAATTTTCACAAGTGTTTCCAGCGTGCAGCTAATGCTGAGAACCACTAATGCAGAGTCACAGTGGAGTCACATCTTCAGAACATTTAACCTATGCACATTCAACCGCACACACCGGGGAATCAGACAGAGAGAGAGAGAGAAATAATTGCAATATTGTAGGCAACTCCTCAAATTTGATCATCAAGACTCCTGGTTAAAGATGGCAGAATGAATATAAGAATCTTTCCTCTCCCTCTAGAAATTACACTAAAATACTGGTAAATTAAAATCTAAAAAAAAGAGAAAGGTCAACAGGGACAAAAAGCACAGGAGAGGAAACAAGACATGGGAGATTTTTGACACCCGTTTCAGAGCAGAGACAAGGAAGCTACAGTCTGGGAACCCACACGGAGGACAATGCTGACAAGAAGCCAGTTCATCTTCCGTAAGGACTGGAACCTTGCAGGCCCAAGACACTTCGGAGGGCAGAGGTGATACCAGCGCTAGAACCAAAAGCCCATGAGCCCTCCTGAGCCCAACTCGCCAGTGCAGCCCAGTCGTCCCTGCGTAAGAGGATTCACGCCAATCAACTCTTCTCGCTCTGCGTTCCCAGGCCCTGGCGCTGGCTCCAGATGCTCTGCAGACTGTGCTGGCCTCACTGCGTCCCATCTTCCCCCAGTGGGGAGGTGCACAGGGCCCACACGTATAGCTCTGGGGACACGGAGCCAAATGCTCTGCAGCCTTCGGTTTGATGCCTGTGGGCTGCACCAGCCAATTCCCCCTAAAACTGATCGGACACCAAGACTTTGGCTGCCACACCTGCTCCAGTTAAAACCAGAGCAACGACTGGCGTTTCTGAAAAGCACATACAACAGCTCTTAGAGTTTAAAGGACTACCTGTCAGGACCAGCACTGGGTTAGAAACGGTGGAGTAGGGTCTGCTGTTTTTCTCTATAAATCCTCCCGTTTTGTTGGGTTTTTTTAAGTCATGTGCTTGGTAGCTAGCCTAGTATGTGTGCACATGTATATAAATCTATAGGACTGAATCCTTGGAGGGAAACTGCTGGATTAAAAGACACACACATTACGTTCCGTCCTTAGAAGCTCACCAATTTATACTGTTAATACTACGAAACACGACAGGGGCGATCTCTCCATATCCTAGGAAACATAGCATGTTTGGTAATTTCTAAAAGAATAGATACAGATTGTAAAGCCACCAAGCTAATAAGGAAAATGGGAAAAGGAGATAAATTTAAAAATCAATTGAATAGGAGGCAGAGAGGCTAAGGAGACACAATGACTGAAGGCAACGTAGGATCCTGGATTGGACCCTGGACTAGAAAAAGGGCATTAGTGGGAAAACCAGTGAAATCCAAATACAGTCTATAGTTTAGTTTTGGTTTTTTAATCATGTACTTGTATTTTTTTCAGAGCAAACTCAAAAAACAATTTTTGTTAAAGAGATGGGGTCTCACTGTGTTGCCCAGGCTGGTCTCAAACTCCCGGGCCCAAGCAATCCTCCCACCTCAACCTCCCAGGTACCTAGGATTATAGTGAGCCACTGTGCCTGGCTCCAAAAGAGTTTTTATGGAAAGGCTAAAATATACCCAAAGTCTTGTTCCTCACTGGCAGGCACTCGGGCCATGACCCAGACTTTGGGGCTACCTGAAGGAGAGTGAACACCAACCGCCGGCCCGAGAGAGACCCAGCTTCTAGCTCTGCGTCTGCATTCTTGACTCTCCGCCTCATCCTAATCTATCTGCAGGAGTAACACAGGCAGAAACTGCTGTGAGTTGCCAAGCGTCCACAACGTGGGCTTAGAACCACAAAACACTAGAGCTAGGAAACACCGGAGAGAAGGGACTTGCCAGGGCCACGTAAGGACTCGGGGACAGGGCTGGGAACCGAGGCTACTGTCCTGGGTTCCACCCACCACACTATGCTTATGTGACAAATGCTTTCACCACACTCACTGTGGGCCAGATGCTGTTCCAAGTGCCTCCCAATATTAACTCACTTAACCCTCACAGTGCCTTGGGGTAGGCACTAGGACGATCCCCATTTTTAGAGGAAGGAAGTGAAGTATACAGAGGGGTTAAGTAACCTGCCCAAAGGCACACAGTAAGTGGCAGAGCTGGGATTCAAACCCAAGCCACCCAGCTTGGGAGACCCTGTTTGCTGACCTCGGGAATATAGTGCAAACCCAGGGCAATCTGAATAGAGCGAGAGTTTTATTTTTGTATTTTGTGTATTGATATTTCCATTTCTGGTTAATAAATGTAATGTCTTTTATCTGAGTAAATTGTATTGGATTTGCTATGATTTTGGGTAGGTTAAGTGTATTAAGTACATTTTTGACTATGATATTTTCAACTTACAATGGGTTTATCAGGATGTAACCCCATTATAAGTCAAGGAGCATCTATCTGTGCATGCAGACCAGAGGGAGACCTCATAACTTCTACCCAGGGAACAAAGGAAGGGAGCGGGAGGGCTTCTGAGCTTCCAGGGAACCTTGTAGGAAAGTGAGTCAGGAACTAACCACCAGGAATAAGTGCTGTGAGGATTTTACAATATTGCAAAACACCAGGAGTCTTTTCACTCATTCATGTCTGATCATTCTATTTTCAGCTGTCTGTAATCATCAGAAACAAAACCTTAAATGCAAGGAACGAACCCAGGGACACATGGACAGAGATAGTAAGACTGGAGAGCGGAGAAAGCTGGGGAGACTGTCATGATACTCCACGGCCAAGGTTAGGGGGAAAGTTGCCCCCTCCAAAGAAGAGAGTAGGTGACAGCAGCTCAGAGGACAAGAGGAAAAGAGTCTGCACGTTCAGATCCCTAAGGAAGGAAGGAATGTGCTGGGGCCTGCCGGGACCGGAGTCTAGATGATAAAAGAGCACGTTAAGCCCTGTGACCCTGCCACATGGAAGGGACAAGCAGACAACTCACCACTGCGTGGGCCACGCCTTACCTAGATCTGCCATCCACTGCGCCAGCATGCGGACGAACGTGGCCAGCGCGTTGCCCCCGTTGAGAGATGCTGCCACCCCCAGGTAGGTCCTGTCGAAGTATGGGAAGTAGGCGACCGGAGCCGCGGGGTCTGGGGTCTGCGCCGGCTGGAATCCTGCAGGCATGGCGGCTGCCAGCTGCACCGAGGTGCTGATGTTGAGAACTGGGGTCCGAAGAAAATAGAGTTTAGGCCTGTCGGGCTAACTCGTCACAACAGGGCGGTGGGAGACAGCGGTGGTTTTAAAAATACGTCCACGTTGGTTAGTGGGGTGAGGGGTCGGGAACATGTTGGTCAAAGGATACATATTTTCAGTTAGATATGAGAGGAATAAATTCAAGAGATCTATATTATACAGCAAGGTGACTATAGCTAATGATGACGTATTGTATTCTTGAAAAACGCCAAGAGAGTGGATGTTAAGTGTCCTAACCACAAAAAAATGATAGCTGTGTAAGGTAATGCATTTGGTAACTAATTAGATTTAACCACTCCACAATGTATGTATGCATACTTCAAAACACCATGTTGTATGTGATAAATAATTTTACAATTTTACGTGTTAATTTAAAAATAAATAAACTTGGGGGAAAATTTTATTATTAAACGTTTTTTTTAAATAAAAATATTTCTAAAACTTCTTTGAGACTCCTGCTTTCAAGAGGTAGAGACTGATTCGCCTCCTCGTGAGTGTGGGCTGGACTTAGTGACTCGCTTCTAACGAATAAAATGAAGCAGAAGAGACAATGCGAGACTTCGGAGACTAGGTCATAAAAGGCTCTGTGGCTTCCGTCTTAGTCATGCTCTCTTGGCGCACTTGCTGGGGGACGGCAGGTGCCGTGTCATGAGCAGCCCCGGGGTGAGGCTCCTGTGCTGAGGAGTGAGCCCCACGAGTGAGCTCAGGAGCAGATTTCCAGGCCCGGTCGAGCCTTCAGGTGACTGCAACCCCAGCATGAATCCAAGCTCATGCGAGACCTGGAGCCAGGCCATTCAGCTACCCCCAGATTCCTCACCCTCAGAAACTGCCTAAAATAATGAATGTCTGTTGTTTTAGGCTACTAAGTATGGGGATAACTTGTCACACAGCAATAGATAACTACTACAGAATAAGACCTCGGACCAAGTGTTCCGTTCTCTGGGGAGATTTCATTTATCTGCAGCAAGTACCACCTCCTTCTCATCCCAAGGTATTCTTCTTAAACCCCCAGCCCACCAGCAGGGGAAATCTCCCAGTCTCAGCACGGAGGGGATGATTTCCTCCTCTGATTCTAGGCCAGAGCCTGTGGAACAGTTCCAGCAGTCTCTCCTCCTCCATTTCTCACGAGACCTGACCAAAAAAGCATGCTTTTCTCAATCTGTGTGGAGGCCAAACAAACTGAGGTCAGCATTCAATTTTCTACCTACTGGTCCACAAGCAAAGAAAACAACAACAAGCCTCAGAAAGCCAATAGCCTTGACCTTCTGCTGCATCCAGCCTCCTACCATGACTATAAACCAGAAGCAGTAGGCCCTCTACCTGTCCCCTCAGGTGCAGGGGTCCAAGATGGGACTGACCAGCTCTGCCACAGACAGAACACAACTGAGCACAGGCCCCAATCTGGAACCAGGGAATGCAACCACCTCAGTGAAGAGAGGACCTAATTCTTACCTTCTTCCTATTAGACTGGCCCCTCACCGTGTAGAAAGAACATTTATGTCCAGGCACACAGGGGCCCTCTGTAGAGGGAACAGCCCAAGATGTGAAAACCACCAGGTGGGAGGAAAGAGTCTGGTGAGCACCGTCTCAGTCAATGACCACAACTGCCCCAGGAGAAGGGCAACAATCCTCACGCTCGTTTTGGATGATGACAAGGGCCCAGGGAGGAGACTAGGCCTACCCAAGGTCACGCTGCAGAAGGTGAGGAGCTGAAATCACAACCCTGGGGGCTGGACGGCAAAGCCTCCATGAGTTCCCTGGTATCCCCGGTTTGAGATAGAGGGATGTAAGGCCAGAGATGGTGTACTGGGAAGACTAAAAGTCAAAGGATTAACTTAGCATCTTATCCTGGGGCACTGATTTCAGTTGAAAATTTGGGAGAAAAAGATGTTTTTGAACTGTCTTCATCTTCAAAGAGTTTATCACATACACACACAAACAAAATTGGTAGAATTTCACCTTTCTTTGGCAGCTGTCCGCTAATCTTGTATTTTTTTCCCCCGGTTGCTTCCTTTTTCACTTGGTTTGGTTTTTATTTTTTTTACTTGTTGGGGCGGGGGAAAAAATGTCATGACCAAGAAGAAAACCCTGGGTAAGAACAAATTCTCTGCTCCCCTCGATAACAAGAAGGGGCCCCAAAAGTGGACTCGCTGTCCCAGGCTTCCATGAGGATGAAAAGAGACACACAGGCTGGTGCAGGGACAGTGACTATATCATCCTTCAACCACCCTGCTTGGGCGAGCAGGCCTAGATTCTACTCTAGACCAGGAATCGGCAAACCACGGCCCACAGGCCATATCCAGCTCACCATCTACTTTTATATGGCCAAGAAGCTGAGAATGGCTTTCCCATTTTTTAAATAATAGCTTTAATATTTAAAAGCTATTAAATATTAACTATTACAAAGGTGGAGTGGAAAATTCCTAGTTAGAGGCTAGTTGGTGGTTTCTGAGTGGTGCAGTTTCTAGTTTCAATTTACTATTGATACTGGGCTTTGGTTTGTTCATGTAGAAATGTATAGTGCTAGAGCCACCATAGTCTAATAAACTTGTAGTTAGAATTTTTTTAAACAGTACTGATAAATACTATAAAATGTAAGTGAAAGTGAAAGAAATAAATGAAGCTAGATAAAGGCCATATATTATATAATCCTAGTCATATGAAATGCCCAGAATAGGCAAGTCCATAATGACTGCTAAAGGGTACAGAGTTTCTTTGTGGGGTGATAAAAATGTTCTAAATTTGGATAGTGGTGATGGCTGTACAGCTGTGAATATACTAAAAACCAGTAAATTGTACACTTTAAAAGGGTGTATTTTATAATGAATTTATGTGATTTACAACAACTCGAAGGCAATCAACAACCTAGAATGACCTTTGGACTTCTCTTAATAAGTGACTCTTAAGTCAGCCGTTTATCTGCTTCTGTCCATATGTATTTATGTCTTTGTATGAATAAATGTAGATTTGTATGCTATTATACATGATATTTTTGGATGGTAGTACTAAACCAATTTATAAAATCCCTTAAAAGAGTTCTATTCAAATTGGCTTGAGATAAATGAGCGCTCATGTAAATTATTTCTAAAACTTTCAGAAATATAAAAATTGACCCAAATGTTTTGGGTTTTTTTCTAAATTCACATAAATTAGGTAGATCTCTGGTAAGTAAATCTAGTTTTAAACTTTTTGGTAAAATAAAAATGGAAATGTTTTCACAATTGTCAGTTTTCCCTGGGTTGCTGGCAAGACAGGTTTGTGTTATCTCTGCAAGATGTGTAAGACCATAAAACCATAAATCCAACCTAAGTGTGTATGTGCAATAAAAATGAATTGTTTGGTGAATTTATGAAAGTTAAAAAAAAAAAGAAGGAAGAACCAAGTTTAGCTTTTTCAGTTTCTTTGCTTCTGTGCTATTTTTGATATTTGCCTGATTTGTCAACAAAAATAAAATTAGATAATGGTGTAGGGGAGGGGGTTAATGACAGTTGAGATCCTTTGAGGGATCTATCTTTAAGTAGATAAGGGGAGTCCAGAGAAAGCCTCTCCCAGCTCGGGGTGGTGGCTCACACCTATAATCCCAGCACTCTGGGCGGTCAAGATGGGAGAACTACTTGAGGTCAGCAGTTAAAGACCAGCCTGAGCAAAAGCAAGACTCCATTTCTACTAAAAATAGAAAAATTAGCCGGGAGTGGTGGCTCATACTTGTAGTCCCTGCTACTCAGGAGGCTGACACAGGAGGATCGCTTGAGCCTAGGAGTTTGAGGTTGCTGTGAGCTAGGCTGATGCCACAGCACTATAGCCTGGGCAACACAGTGAAATTCTGTCTTTAAAAAAAAAAAAGAAAGAAAGCTTCTCCCTGCATTTTCTATTTTTCAAGTGCCTTCACTCAAAGTGATCAATATACCAAAGTGGCATATTCAGAGGTGGCATTTCCTGAACATGTTTGACCTCAACCTAACGTTAAGACATTCTAGAGGGCCTGTGGAATATCTGAAAGGATCTGTAAAAGAGAGATATTGCACTCTGGGAGGCCAAAGTGGGCGGATCGTTTGAGCTCAGGAGTTTAAGACCAGCCTGAGCAACAGCGAGACCCCATCTCTACTAAAATAGAAAGAAATTAATTGGCCAAATATATATATAAAAAATTAGCCGGGCATGGTGGCGCATGCTTGTCGTCCCAGCTACTCAGAAGGCTGAGGCAGGAGGATCGCTTGAGCCCAGGAGTTGGAGGTTGCTGTGAGCTAGGCTGACGCCACAGCACTCTAGCCTGGGCAACAGAGTGAGACTCTGTCTCAAAAAAAAAAACAAAGAGAGAAAGAGATTAATATTAAACTAATTAGGCTTATTTGATATTTTAAATTATATGGGAAGCCTTGTCAAATAAAAACCTATGTTTAACTTCCTTTGATTTATATTTGTATGGATATGTTATTAATACATGTTCTAAAAATTCCTAGAAATCTGATATGTCATGGTATAAGCTGTCAGCCACAAATTTCTGTCATTATGTTAAATTTTGTACGCCATGGAAAATAACCAAATTTCCTTGTCAATTGCATCATTATAATAATGAATCCTCATCAAAATTTAACCATGCAATTTTAAGTTTTGTCCTCCATAGACACCTATTGTTTTGATTCTTCTCTAAAAGCATTTGCACCCAAGTATGGTGGCTCATACCTATAATCCCAGCACTTCGGGAGGCCAACGCAGGAGGATCACTTGAGGCCAGGAGTTTGAAACAAGCCTAGGCAACATAGCAAGACCCTATCTCAACAAAAAATTTTAAAAATTAGCTGGGCATGGTGGCACATGCCTATAAGTCTGGCTTCTTAGGAGGCTGTGGCAGGAGGATCCACTCGAGCCCAGGAATTCAAGGTTACAGTGAGCCATGATCACGCCACTGCCCTGTAGCAGACTCTGTCTTTAAAAACATAAATAAGGGCATTTACAATCAGCTACAGCCCAAAATTGTTTCTTCTTCAAAGAGATTTGTGGGACTCTGCTAAGTACTCCGGAATACAGATTTCTAACGACTCTGAGATCGTATCATTAGACAAAGAATTTCCAGAATTCTAATGAGGAAATGGTGGGTTCATGAAACTGCTAAGCAAGATCAAGCAGAACAAGAATTAATTATATGGGACTAAATAACTGATGAGGATAATATCTTTATGATTTTTCATTTGAAACATTGCTGGTTCCTTAATTTTTATTTCCCAGATCTAAGGAAATATTTTTTTCCTTTTATTTTACACTATCAAAAATTGGCAGCTATTTGGTAAAATATATTTTTGTGAATAAAAATTGAAATATTTACTTTTTTCTCCTTACTTGACCCTCCAGAATCTGGAAAGCTACTTGTGAACATTTTCAGTATATGGCGCTATAGTTATTGGCACAAGAGCAAAAAGAATCTGTCCTCTTTGTAACAGTATACAATTGAAAACATTGGTTGTATTACAGAGACTTTGACTAGAATGTCACATTTAATAATGTGTGTAGAATGCCTGGCTTCACAGGTTCCCAGTCTTACATTGAGTGAGTAAAAACTGTCACTGGCAGTGACAGTATTCAGGACTGGATCCTGAATACTTCTAGGTTCCTTCAATTTTCTGCCACTTTTCTGACTTGGAGTCACTAAGGGTAAGAAATGCTCTGTTCCTGAAAGCTCACAAACTAGAGACAAACAACTTGATTTATTTTCAGAGGAAAATAAATCCTCCCTGCCCCCCCCCACCCTGTCTGATGTGTGGACCACTACAGAGAGTTCACTGAAATGCCCAATGCCACCACCAAAGACATTCAAATCAGGAAAATATGCTTTGAGCTCAAATCTAGAAATCTTCTCGACTAACTTCCCTCTAGACTCAGAGACTAATTTTATAGTTTTTTTAAATAGTCATTAACTTTTCTTTGTCTTTTGTTTCCATAAAAATATTAGTTGTACTATGTGGGAGGTTGAGGCAGGAAGATTCCTTGAGCCCAAGAGTTTGAGTCCAGCCTGGACAACATAGCAAGATCCCATCTTGAATATATTTATATGTGTGTGTGTGTGTGTGTGTGTGTGTGTGTGTCTTAGTTGGTTTGGTTCATGGGGACCTTGGCTAATCTGACAGTCAATGTTATAATCTCCCGGTACACTGTCTTCTCTCAAGGGTCTTAAATGTGCCTTTACAGCTATCAATGGCACGCCAGATGGTCTCATTGTGATTAGGATAACAAAAATGAAATAAAAAACAAAAGGATTCTTTCTTCAATAAGCCTGATGTTGTAAAATTGATGTTAGTCGATCTCAATAAATAAGAGGGGGAAATTGTTTTTAAAAACTTCAAATGGGAGGCCATTAGACTAGGGTGTCTCTGGCACTTTAAATTCCCACATGAACAAACCAAAGTCCAATGTGAACAGTAAAAATGAAACAAGAAACTGCACCAATCAGAAACCACCAACTAACTGCTAACTAGTTTTCCATTCTAACCAATCAAAATCGTTTTCTTTGTCTTGCTTCTGCAAATACTTTACAGAAATTTCCCGTCTTCCCCTTCCCAGTGGGGTACTAGCCCCTTGTATTCTGGGGCTACCCCAATTTATGAATCACTGAATGTTCAACTAAACTCTTTAACATTTAGATGTGCTTAAGTTTGTCTTCTATAAGGTAGGTATTCATTCCTTTTTAGCTATGTGGATGAATTCTTTTAATCCATTCAGCAGCTGAAGGACATTTGGATTGTTTCTACTTTTTGGCTATTATGAATAATGCTGCTGTCAACATCGGTGTACAAGTTTGCTGTGTGGACAGATGTTTTTAGTTCTCTTGGATGTATTTCTAGGAGCGGAATTGCTGGGTCGTGTGGTGACTCCACGTTTGACATCTGAGGATCTGCCAGACTGTTTTCCAAAGGGGCTGCACCATTTTACAAACCCACTAGCACCTTCTCACATTTTTAAATGGTTGAAAAGAAATCAAAAGGAGAAGACTATTTCATGACACATGAAAATGATATGACATTCGCATCTGTCTATGAATAATGTTTTGTTGGAACACAGCTACACCCATTCATTTACATACGTATTGTCTACAGCTGCTTTTGAACTCCACCAGAACTGAGCTGTTACAACAGCGACTGCATGGTCCATAAGGCTGAAAATATTTACTGGCTGGCCCTTTACTGAAAAAGTTTGCCAGCTCTTGCCCTAGACTGCTGCCTCCACCTGACTGTGATTCTGCACGTCTAATCAGATCTGACGTAACTGTCATTAACAAACTCACAATAACAAAAACTCTAACCTACTCATCTATTAATATGTTCCCAGTCATGGAGTTACACGGAAACCAGCCAGCTAGAGAGAGCTCTTTCCCTCACCTGGCCCTCGAAGGGGTTGCCCTGCTGTCCTGTAATCTCCCTGAGCAGTTTCACCTGCAGGGATGAGGGCGGATTTTTTTTATCTTTACATTATAATGATCTCCAACAGGATGCTGAGGCTGCTAAGTTCTGTGTGTCCCTCCAGTCCCCACACAGAGCTGGTGCTTAGAGGTAGCAGTATAACTCTGGGGAGAGGGAAAAAAAACTCACCTGCATCTGTCCTTTGGGCCATGCAAGAATAGACAGAGGCCTGTAAATCACCCATGGCCACTCCCACCGGCGTCCCCTTTGGGATCTCAAGCCACGTGTGGGAAGTTCTGCCTGCCACACTGCCAGGCTCGGCGATGTCTGGGAGCAGGTGGATGGGAAAGCCTGAACCCTTCAGTCTGTAAAACAAACGTGGACACCCGTATTGACCTGTACATGGTTTCCTGTTTTTTATTGTTTCCAGGAAACTCATCAAGGGAAAGTGCTATAGGACACACATAGAAGGAAGGAGAGAATCCACTGTTGTCACAGACAGCTTTTTGGCTTTTTAAAAACCGTGAGCTTAGGCTTTGTACATAGTGCATACTCGCTTTCAAAAGCTTAGGATTCACCTTCCAGGAAAGAAAACAACCAGCTTAAGCAGCAGCGATCAATTCCATCCTCCTGTGTTGGAAGGGAACTCACTCTGCAAAGGGAGGTGGTCAGAGTTTCCGTGCAAAGTTATGATTGGTTAGCACAGTCCAAAGTCAAACCTGTTGATCTCCTGAACATCAAATGCATTCATCACTCAGGGTTAGTGAACATGGGGCTGTCAATTTTACAAAACAAAACCAGTGCGATGGTAGTGGGTTATCAGAATTTATTAACATTAGTGTCACTAAAGTTGGTATACAACCCCCCACTGCTGAATTTGACTGGCTTAAAAAAATAAAATAAAATAAAATAATTTTTAAAAATTTTACAAAACATGCTAAAAAGTCCTTTACCTGAACTACCAGGTGCTTTTTGTTTTATTTCAGAGCTCAGAATTTGGGCCCTGAAGGAAGTGAACTTATAGAGCACTGGACTTCTGTACCTGGAAAGGCAAATGATCGTTTAAAAAGAACTTAAAAAGCACCCCTCAAGACTACAACCTCTAGTCCTTAATCTTATTTTAAAATATATTAAAGATTGAATGTTGCACTTTGAAATCTATAGGCTGGGCTCAGAGCCACAGAGAACAGGGGAGCCCAGCTTAGGTCTGGGTGGCTGTGGAAGAGCAGGACAGCATGGAAAGGGCAGGTGTTGGGGGGACCCCAACCCCAGGGCTTCATTTACACTGGGCCCACCCATACCCAGTGACTGGAACAGGCTGGGGCACTGGATGCTGATCCCTGGCCTCTAGGAATCCTCTACCATTCCCGGACGGGAAAGGGCCCACCGAAGCTCAAGCTCTGAAGGTGGCCCGAAGCCTGGAGCCAGCCTGCAAGGATGTTATACTCACATCTCCGAGTTCCAGCTTTGGCTCTGAGTGTTGAAATATCCCCAGCTGGCAGCATTCTGGTCGGACATCAGGGGTCTCGGCAAGCCACACAGCATGGCAACCACATAGTCGTGGATGGTGCCCGCTGCATCATAGGACTTCAGGAACTCTGGGCTGTTTTTCACACCAAAAACAATTCAACACAGTCTAACATAGACTCAGAATCATGTGCTGCACCTAGCTGTGGGCAGTGGGGACCAGACACAGCATAGCTAGGTGGCTATGCTATGTCGATAACCCCAATGCTGAGGATCAAGTACAGCTGGATCCCCTGGGGTGAGGGCCTCCCAGCTGCTCCAAGAAAAGCCAGCCCAAGTCAGCTCTAGTGGAGGGAACTCAGGAGGAAGTGTCAAGCCTAGGAGAGCAGGACAATTGTCCTTCTCAGCAGCCCTGCAGGCCTGACCCTACTGTGAACTCACCACGTGACCTTTGGCAAGTCACTAGCCCTGTCTCCTTTCCCCATCTGGGTGAGAACTGGATAACCATCAGAGAGCCTTCTGCAAAAGGAAGCAATTCTGGACCTAATCTAGGCCTTAAGACTGCACGTGGTGCCAGGCCCTGCTCACTAAGGCACAGTCCAGCAGGGAGAGTGATGCTGATGTGGCCCCCCGCACCCCCCATTCTCCTGGAAACCCAGCACCTGATTCAAAGAACAATTGTCCGTACCGATTTTTCAAAAGCCAGAAGATGGTTGCACAGCCGAACCCCGTGGCCACGCTGAGATGGGACTCCGGCTGGGGCAGAGAGGCCAGGAACCCACTGCTACACCGGCCATCCTGCCATGTGACCAGGTGACTCACAGCTCTGGGCTCGAACAGGGGGGCAGCCCCTCCCCCTGTCCATTCACAGCCTGGAACAAAGGAGATTATAAAAAATGCAAATAAGAGCAACTAACTGTGCACCAGCACGTCCCGAGACTACACCCCTGGGGAGTTCACAGCACGGACACTCATCACCCTGTGGCGGTGCTTGGCTTGCACGTGGGTCCCGATAGCAGAGTGCCTGCGTTTAGCGCTCAGCTCTACCACATAACGTGTGTGTGACCCTGGGCAAGTCATGTACTCCCTCCATTCATCCCACCTCTATGTTTCTTTTTATTCATTTTTTAGGTTGATATTGTATTTCCCACCACCCCATAAAAGGTGATGTTTGGCACAGTCTCAAGTCTCCTGGCTCCATCCTCCCACCCATCACCATGATGATGTTATGGAGGCTGGATTCTGGTGAGTGCCAATGTATATTCTCTTTCCCTAGGTCTTAGCTAATTGATTTTTAGACATGAAACTTTTTTAAGGACTCTGGCCATCTTTATTTCATTTATCTCTTGTGACATCTGCTGGATTTTTCTCTGCTCTTCTTTACATATTTCATCCAAAACTATTCCAAGTGTAGGTTTTTCTGTGGCAAAGTGTCTGAAGGCCTATGTGCCTCTGAATACTTTTTCACGTTCTCACCCTTGAATGATAGCTTGATCAGTTATAAATTCTAGGTTCTAAGTTCCTTTCCTTCAATGGTTAGTTAAAAACACTATTTGTGGCCAGGCACGGTGGCTCACGCCTGTAATCCTAGCACTCTGGGAGGCCGAGGCGGGCGGATTGCTCGAGGTCAGGAGTTCAAAACCAGCCTGAGCAAGAGCAAGACCCCGTCTCTACTAAAAATAGAAAGAAATTAATTGGCCAACTAAAAATATATAGAAAAACTTAGCTGGGCATGGTGGCACATGCCTGTAGTCCCAGCTACTAGGGAGGCTGGGGCAGGAGGATTGCTTGAACCCAGGAGTCTGAGGTTGCTGTGAGCTAGGCTGACGCCACGGCACTCTAGCCCAGGCAACAAAGTGAGGCTTTGTCTCAAAAAAAAAAAAAAAATACTATTTGTGGTTGATTGCCACAAACTGTTAGCTACTCCTCCCATTAAGAGGTGGCATCTAAATCCTCTTTCCTCGGGGCTGGCATTGGTGACTTGCTTGACTAAGAGAAAGTGGAGGAAGTGACATCTGGGGACTCCCAAGGATGGATGGTAAGAAGGGCTGAGCTCTCCCCCGAGCCTCCTGGAGCACTGTCTCTGGGAGAAACCAGCCCCCAGTAAGAAGTCCAACTACCCTGAGGCCACTGTGCTGAAGAGACTACATGGAAAGGGCACATGTAGGCACCTGCAGGCCATTGCCTAGTAAGCCTGGACTTCCCCACCAAGGTCCCAGGCACTGAGTGAAGCCACCTGGAACCCTCCTGACTCATCTGTCCACCAGACGAATACCAACAAGCAACCTCCATCGACTCCACAGAGAAGAATTAGTTGGCTGAGCCTCACCTGCCCAATTCCTGACCCCCACAAAAGTCACAAGATATGATAAAGTGGTCAGTGTTTTAAGTCACTCAGTTTGGAGGTACTTTGCCATGCAGCAATAGATAATCAAAATACTATTCCATCGTCTTTTTACGGAGTGTTGCTGTTGAAAAAAGTCTGATGTCAATCTGCTCCGTATTCTTTTATGTGGGATCTGACCTTTTGCTCTGTAAGCTTTTCGAACATTGTCTTTGAAATCCTTAAAAGTTCACAAAATATATATATCTAACTGTGGGGTTTTCCTTATCTCTCCTTTTTGAGATTCTATGGGCTCTTTTAGTCTGGGATATTCGACCTTATTTTGTCAATTATGAGGAATTTTTCGCCATTATTTCTTCAAATTTCTTCTTCTATCCACTTTTATTTTTCACTTTCTGAGTCTCCTATTATTCAGATGCTAGTGCTTCTATTTGTATCCTCAATGTCTCTTAGCTTTTCTTTGATATTTTCTACCTTTATCCTCTCCTCCTTCCTTCTGAGAGATTTCCTCAATCTCATCTTTCATTCTCTAATTTGTTCTGAAGTTTTATCCATTCTGCTATTAATCCTAAATATTATAATCCTAAATATTATATTCTTTACTTCAGCTGTTATATTTTTCATACCTAATATTTCTGTTTTGGTCTTTTTATGTTTCTTTTTTTGTGCCCTTGCTAATAATATCTTCTTTTAACATCACTTAGTGTATCAAGCAAATTTTAAATTCTCAGTGTGTCCAATTATAATAGTTCTCCTTCTGACAGAATCTCCTTCAAATAACCCAGTACAATGTTTTCCTTGTGAAATAGTTGTGCTCTTCAAATATCTTGTAATCCTGACCTGTGGAAGCTCATCTTCCCCTGGGAATATTGGCTACTTTATCTGGCCATGTAAACGGGCCAGTTCCCATCAGCCCCAATGAGCTGGGGAGGATGGATGGGTCCTAGGGTGGACCCACAGGTAAATCCACAGTTAATCCATCCCCACAAAATATCTCCTCTGGGTCAGGGCTTCCTCTCTGTCCCCCAAGAGTAAACAATGTTATAAGGATCCTTATATTATAGGTCACTAGCTCTGGATTGGAGGAGGACATCTGCTCCTCTCTGCCACCTTGATTTTATTCCTGAAGACACCTGAGTTCCTGTGGATATGAGGAGAGACACCACTTGATCTAGACCCTGAAATCCAGAGGAACCAGCAATTCCCCTCCTGGTTTATCCTCCCACAGGCAAGGCTGGCTGCCTCTTGCCCCAGAACCAAACCATCCACGCACACATACACCAGCTCAAAAGAGCCCCATCACCCCAGGGTTTCTCATGATGTTCTCTCCCATTTTCTTGGTGTTTTTCTCTTATGATTCCCTGGAAAATGATCTTGGGAGAAAGAGCTGGAAGTGGAGCTAGTTCATTATCATGGTGACAACTGTATCCGGAAGTCCAGAGGTAGAATGCACTTATAACTCTGTTTCCCTGATCCTAGTGGCTCTGCCTGCCTCTGTGTCTTGACCTGATGCCTGAGCTACTAGCAAGGGGAAGAGGTAGAGTTAGGGTTGGGAGAGGGGGTGTTGTGTGTATATGGTTGTGTGTATTAAATGAGTTAACACATGTAGTGCATTTAGAATAGTACCCAGCATGCAGTGAGTACTCAATAAATGTTAGTGATGATGATGATGAATAAGAACCTTTAGCTTCTAAACTCTGTGCATGGTCCCAAGACTTTTCTAGCAGTCTTTGAGAGAGAGAATGTACTCTGTTACGTATCTTTTGTTCTGTCTTCTCTTCAAACAAGGGATGTTTCCCATAGCTTCATGCAATATAAATACAACCACTGCAGCAGAATGGGGAAAGAATGTTGACATCAAGTGCCAGTCCAGAAAAGTCAATAGCAATTGAGAACACCCTGAACCTAACAGGTGTAGATGAGAATCGGGCCTCCACTGCAGAACAGGGCCTGCCACAAAGCAAAGCAGGGCACACAGCATGTAAAGCTGTCTGATGGCTATGTCAGATTTCAGATCCCATACTTTGGAGTCAAGGTCCTCATATTCTCCTATAAATTTGCTCATTAAGAACCAAAGAAGCAGGGAGTAGTGGCATGTGCCTATAGTCCCCACTACTCGGGAGTCTGAGGCAGAAGGATTGCATGAGCCCAGGAGTTCGAGTCCAGCCTGGGCAACATAGCGAGACCTCGTTTCTGAAAAATATAAATTAAAAAACCAAAAGAGCCAAAGAAACATACCTGCCACTCCCCCTCTGGTTCTAGGACATAAAACATCCATTCATTCATACATGCATGACTGCATAATATAGTTATTGAGTGTCCAATATGTATGAGTTCCTGAGAATATAGTAGTGAACAAGGAAAAGTCACTGCTTTCATGAAGCGTATATGCTAAGGATGGAGACAGAATATAAACAAGCAAATATAAAATACCAGGTACTTTTAGTTGCTATGAAGAAATATACAGCAGGGTAAGGGGAAAGAGAAGTTATTGAGGTGATAGGTGATGGGTTATTGAAGGTAGTCAGGGAAATCCTCTCTTGGGTGACATGTGGGCACAGAGCTGAATAGAGTAAGGAAGCCAGCCTTAAGAATATGTGGGGGCTGGGCGTGGTGGCTCATGTCTGTAACCCTAGCACTTTGGGAGGCCAAGGCAAGAGGATCACTTGAGGTCAGGAGTTTGAGACCAGCCTGAGCAAGAGTGAGACCCCATCTCTACTAAAAATAGAAAAGTTCACTGGGCACAATGGTGCATGCCTATAGTCCCAGCTACTCAGAAGGCTGAGGCAGAAGAAGCCCAGGAGTTTGAGGCTGCTGTGAGTTATGATAACACAACTGTACTCTATTCAGGACAACAGAGTGAGATCCTGTCTCAAAAAAAAAAAAAAAAGTATATCTGGGGACAAGTGTTACAGGTAAATGGAACAGAGAGGGCAAAGACTTTGAGGGATCTTGTCAGGCAATCTCTGGTTACTACCCCTGGCCAGTGCTCAGCAGGAAGGCATGGTATAGGTGAAGGCTTTGGGGATCGTGGACCTGAAACATCTGCTTGGTGCCATATTTTCACCTGGGGACAGGGGTTGTGGGTGGGGAGACGGGAATGGGGAGGCTCCTGGTCAGAGTAGTCTACACCCATGGCTATGCTCCTCCCTAAACCTAAAGCTGGGATTCTTATCCCAGCCATAAAAGCTGGATCTCTGCAGCTTTTTTGCAATCCCTTTATCTTCTCCCAAAACATTTTGATCCTTTTTTTTTTTTAATTTTTAGACTGCCATTTTGGTTGTAAAACAAAAATAGAGTGCTGACCAGGTACCAGGTGTTATTCAAAATACTATAAAAATAATAATTCATTTAACCTACATAATAACTTTCTAAGGTAGGTGGGATAACTACCCTCATTTTACACTTAAAAAAAATGAAGCACAGAGAAGTTTTAAAAATTTGCCTAGAATTAGGACTCAAATCTAGGCAGTCTCCTCCAGAATCTAACCTCATCAATATATCCTTTTGTTCCTTTCTTTTTAATTGGCAAAGAATTGATATTATTTTTAAGTTTTTAGTGACACACATGACACATGAATGCATTCCTAACATAAGATGTCAAATATTACAGATAAAGCAAAGGCCCTTATCCATCCTCCGCCTGAGTTCCAGCCCCTTCTTATCTCCATAGGCACTTGTTGGGTAACTCTCTCACGGTTTTACATTCACACAACACATTTTGTTTTGTTTCATTGATTTGGGTTTTGGGTTTTTGGTTAGTTTTTGTACTTAGTCTATTTAAAAAAAAAAAAAATAGTGCTATAGGGCTGGGTGAGATGGCTCATACCTTTAATCCTAGCACTCTGGGAGGCCAAGGCAGGAGGATCACTTGAGCCCAGGAGTTCAAGACCAGCCTAAGCAAGAGCGAGACTGTCTCTGCTAAATATAGAAAAATTAGCTGGGCTATAGTGCTCACCTATAGTCCCAGATCCTTGGGAGGTTGAGGCAAGAGGATGGCTTGAGCCCAGGAATTGGAGATTGCAGTGAGCTATGATGACACCACTGAACTCTACCTGGGGCAACAGAGCGAGACTTTTTAAAAAAAAAGAAAAAGAAAAAATGGTGCTGTATTGTATTTTTGTTCTAGGATTGTTTTTATCATCCAGCAACTTGTTCTGGAGTTCTTTCTATGTCAATACACCTGAATGATACTTCTTCTTTTTAAATACTGCACATCATTCTCCAGCATGGACCCACCCACATTTATGGAACCAGTCCCACAGAATGGAACGCCAAATTTCTCACTGTAAACGAGGGTGCAAAGAAGGACCTTGATCATGCCTCCTCATGCACATGCATGTTTGAGCCCTGAAAAGATTCCAAGCGGTAGAACTGCTGAGTCGTAGTAGCTGTCTTATTTTTAGGCCCTGCCAAACTGCCCTCCGAAACAGCTACACCAATTCACACTCCCAGCAGCAGTATTTAAAAGAACCAACTTTCCACTCCCTTTGCCAGCTCTTGCCATTATCAAACTTTTTGCTTTCTTACACTCCAATGGGTAGAAAATGATGTCTCATTATTGTTTTCATCTGCACTTTCCTAATTACTAATGATGAGTACCTTTTCACATATTTATTAGCCATTTGTATTTCCTCTTCTAGGAATAACCTACTGGTATCCTTTGCCCACTTTTCCACAGGGCCATTTGTCCTTTCTTAATTATTGGTTCTGCCTGTGTACTGACTTGTTCTTTGTCTGCTACACACTGCCAGATATTTTCTCCCCGTCTGCTGCTTGCCTTTTAGCTTTGTTTTATGATCTTCATTTCGCTCCTGCTTTTACTGAGCCTGGAAATGGAGTCTACAAAGCTGGCGTGACCACAGGCCTTTCAGAAGACACTAATCGCTCCCTCTTCTCTCCTCCAGCCTGCCCGCCTGCGCCCTCCCTGACTCACTCAGCTCTCTGCTCAAGTTCCTGGTGCCCGTCTGTTTTGACTGTGTTCTGCAAGGTACAGGCTGCCTTCCCTCACTTCTACATCTCCCCCAGGGCCTACCACAGGGCCTTATATGTTATAGGAACTGAAACCAAACTGAATTAAGGCCACCATTAAAAGCAGCAAGACTTGATCCCAAACATGATTTCACTGAACTCCACCAAGCAGGTATCATCATCACCAAACACTAGCTTTCCTTCTTCCCAGAAACTGAAAACAAACCCAGAAGGCATGTGGGCTGGCCCAATGAAATATTAAGCAGCTCTTTCCAACGATGTGGCTGATGGTTTGTGTGGTTGTTACAGAGCCTGGGAGACGGGCAGAAAGGAAGGCGTGTGACCAGACCACAATCATTAGACCTCTCCTGTCCTCTTCGGGAAGGGTTTTAGTATTAAAAGGACATTTATTCTCATTAATGCAAAATTAAGGAGTTTAAAAAGCTTTTACAACCTAGACTCCCTCTGAGAGGCCAACTCTAACACCCTAATCGCCTTCTGCTCCTGCTGCTGCTGCTTGGAGCCAAGCAGCTCCTATGGCCCAGCCCGCCTGACGACAGGCCGACCAGAGGGAGGGAAGGAGGGAGGGAAGCACTGGCTTCCCAGCCTCATCCTGGGAGTGATCAAAGGATGCAGCACTAGACACCCAGTCCCTCCGGGAGGCAAGTCACCACACACTGAGCCCAGGGGACTCTGAATCGCTGACTCTCCAGGCAGAAAGGGTGAATTCAATGTTCACATCCCCTTAACCACATCCCCCCAATGTAGCCATCCCTCCTCTGCTTATAACATCTGCAGTAAAATGTTTTACTGAAGCTGGGTGATGGGTATGTGTCAGTTCATAGCACTATTCTCCCTATCTTTGTATGTCTATGCAAAATTGTTTATAATTTTTTTTAAAAATTTTTTAATGCCTGCCATAACAGGGAGCTCACAACCTCCTATAGGAGCCTAATCCTTCCTTGGGCATTCTGTTGGGAAGTCCCTTCCTTCACTGAGCTACTGTGCCCTCCTATAGCTCTGGTCCTCACAGAGGCCTTTGAAAACTCAGTGTCTGGGCCAAGCACGGTGGCTCATGCCTGTAATCCTAGCACTCTGGGAGGCCAAGGCAGGAGGATCACTAGAGGTCAGGAATTTGAGACCAGCCTGAGCAAGAGCAAGACCCCCGTTTCTACTAAAAATAGAAAAAATTAGCTAGGTGTGGTGGTGTGCACCTATAGTCCCAGCTAGTCAGGAGGCTAAGACAGGGGGATAGCTTGAGCCCAGGAGTTTGAGGTAGCTGTGAACTGGGCTGATGCCATGGCACTCTAACCCAAGTGACAAAGCAAGACTCTGTCTCAAAAAAAAAAATTAAAAAAAAAAAAAAACTCTCAGTGTCTAACATCAGATAGACCTGAGTTCAAAAGCTGGAGTTGCCACTTGCCAACATATGACCCTAAGCATATTATTCTAAGCACTCTGAACTTCAACTTCTTATCTGCACAATGGTGACTGCAGTATAACCTATGTCATAAGGTTGTCGGGAAATTTTAATGAGATCACGCAGGTAAAGTCTTTAACCTGGCACCTGGCATGTGAAGTGGTCATTGTTGTCTTAATGGCTTAGTTCTCTCCCTAGGGGCCAAACAGAATACATCACCCACCTCTGCGCCTTCATGAGACAACTGACTAAACAATGCTTATTTAGCACCTGAGCCCATAAAAAGGATACGCCCTGGAATTCAAAAAAATCATAAATATCTGTGATTGTGCAAACAATAAAAAGCATGCCCAAATGTAAAAGAGTTCCCTCTGTGTCTTGGCATCTCCTACAGCTACAGCTAACCTCTTGGTTTGTCAGCACTAATGTTCTGAGACATAAATAAAGAGAGAGTTGTGGAAAATACGCTCTGCTGAATCCTAAAGAAGAATCAGACAAAACTCACCCTTTCCCTCTGCTTGTTCGTGGATAATGTGCTGACGGTATGTGAGGGGAAAGTTCCCTCATTCATTACACATTTGTACAAGGTGGACCATACACAAAATACAGGAGACAGCCTGTGTTATTTCATTCCAAGGAGTGAGACCCTAGTCCCACTGCAGGATAACCAGACTCTTCATAGAAAGCCCTTTGCAGCACTTTTCTAGCTCTGTAAGTGACCATTACCAGCATGAGATCATCCCCTGAGCCCAGCATACCTTGACCTGTTTTCCAAAACATGACTCCATGCATTTGTCCCGACACTCCGATGCCCTCGACGTTCCGAAGCTGCTGCTGAGGAAGGGCAGCAATGCACTCGTTTAAGGCCTGGATAATTCTACTCACATCCTGCTCCCGTCCCTGGAAATAGAACAGGGCACATTGGCCGGCGGCAGACAAACAGGCTGAGGGTGGGGGGCAGACCTCCAAGGATTCCCTGGGACTGAGGGTTCTCCACCACCACCAGCAGGGTGTGGCGTAAGAAGGTGGTGGGCAGGTCGCACCCACAGCCTTCAGAGACGAGACGCAGCTGCAGGTGAGGTGCAGCAAACAGCCCGGGATCTGCCCTCCACCGTGGTCAGCCTGAGCTGAGAAAGCACTGCTCTGTGCTATGAATAGGAGAAATGAGGGAAGGGTCTTTCAAGGGGAGCAGTGGGGTTGGGGAGCACGGCAGGGAGGAGCCTGGCAGGAGAGGTGTGGTCAAGGAAGGCCTAAGGGACTAAAGCACCTTAGGATGAGCCCTGGTGCTTTCATCCATCTGGCAAGCATCTTCTGGGTGCTGTGAGGGCCAGGCCCTGGACTTTGAAATCAAAACCCACAGAGGGAATGTGGCCAAGGAGGAAGGCAGGAACACAGGGGCACAGTGCCAATGGGGCCGGGCTGGGGACTGAGGCTGGAAGTGAGGAGAGGCTGGGGCCTAATCAATGCTCTTCCTACAGGGAGAGCCCCCGGGGCTTTCTGAATGGGAATGCACTATCATCACAGCTGTGTTTTCACAAGATTAATTGGGCAATGGTATGAGCTACACAGGATGAGACTGATAGTGGGGAAAGATTTTCCAGTGGTGGAAAGAGATTAAAGAAAGTCAGGGCCTTCTTTTCCTGATTAGCCTTTTCTTCTGACTTCCTTTCTCCTCGAAAACTTCTCTCGGCAGAATAACCTTAAAAGACAAAGTCGTGAGAGGTAAGCAGAACTTAATCAATTATCATATTAAGGTATTAAGAGTGAAGTGGTCCTAAGAGACAAGAATATGAAAAGGACACAGGATTTGGACAAAATTCTTGGGCAAATTCAAAGGTCTTGGGGTCAGGAGTGCATTTTGAGATCTTAAAATTAAAGAAATATCAAATCCAATCAACCAGTCTGGGTAGGAGGTACAGACTCAACTTTGGAAGTAGGCAACAGGCTGGGCGTGGTGGCTCACACCTGTAATCCTAGCACTCTGGGAGGCCGAAGCAGATGGATTGCTTGAAATCAGGAGTTCAACACCAGCCTGAGCAAGAGTGAGACCCTCATCTCTACAAAAAATAGAAAAATTAGCCAGGTGCAGTGGCACATGCCTGTAGTCCCAGCTACTTAAGAGGCTGAGCCAGGAGGATCCCTTGAGCCCAAGAGTGTGAGGTTGCTAAGAGCTATGATGACACCTATTTTTTTAAGAAAAAAAAAAAAATAGGTAGGCAACAATGTGATGAGAACCTAAGAAATTTGTGCTCTGTGACTAAAGTCCCAGTTCAAGACTATAATAGGACCCCACGGTCCCATCCCATTCCAGTGGATGCCTGTTATCAGTAAGAAATCTCAGACCGGGTGCAGTGGCTCACGCCTGTAATCCTAGCACTCTGGGAGGCCGAGGCGGGCGGATCACTCGAGGTTAGGAGTTCGAAACCAGCCTGAGTAAGACCCCATCTCTACTAAAAAAATCAAAAGAAACTAATTGACCAACTAAAAATATACATATACAAAAAATTAGCCGGGCACGGTGGTGCATGCCTGTAGTCCCAGCCACTCGGGAGGCTGAGGCAGGAGGATCACTTGAGCCTAGGAGACTGAGGCTGCTGTGAGCTAGGCTGACGCCACGGCACTGACCCTAGCCTGGGCAACAAAGTGAGACTCTGTCTCAAAAAAATAAATAATTTAAAAATATATATAAGCTAAGAATACCATCACAAAATATTTACTTATGAAAGCAACTTAGATGACATAATTATTTTGTTGGTGAATAAGTAAATTTCAAAGTGGACTGATCAAGAATTAAATACACCTATGTTTAAAACAATCATACCTATGTTATTAATATGTGTGTTTAAGGAATCTCAGGGTACTTAGTATTTTAAGTAAATTTACACATTTAAGATAATCTGGCCTAGGTTATCTTTATAATTTTGATTTAAAATGTGACATTGAGGAACTGCTCTAGATTAGTAATTACAAGCTCAAATCTTACTACATTTATACAAGGCTTTGAAATATACAGGAGTATTTAAGGTCTTTACATAGGTACGCATTTAATTTATAAGAATTACTTAAGTATTCTGAGAAGATTTAAATCAATTGCAGCACATAAACAAAAAAATAGATTAAATGTATAACTGTAGTTTAAAACATCTAAGATCCCAGAAACAGTGACACAAAAGAAAAAGAAAAAAGAAATAAAACACCTAAGGTATTTAAAAGTTTTGAATTTCATAAATTGAACACTTATTTGATTTTATTCAAAGTAAACTGTTTCTGGCACACAAAATCCCCTCAAGGCACAAACTAAACTTCTATTTAACAACTAGAAGGATCCATGGAAAGTTCAGAGGAGAAGAAGGGCAAGAGAAATGTGGCTTAGCTTTTAATCAGTGTTGGTTCTTTGGGAAACCAAAAAAAGCCATGGTCTTAGAAAAGCATCAGAAAACTGAGTTCTCAAGCCTCTTTTTCCCCCCAGGGAGCACAGCCTTCCCTTCCTTGGAAGAAACCTCTCACTTGCTCCTATCAGCCTGCGGGCCTCGGTCAGGGGCTGTTCCTGGCTCCTAACAAGCATGAACAAAGGAACAGAAAGAAGGACAAAGAGGAAGGGGAGGATGGGGAAAGAAGAAATGGGGACAGAGCACAAAGCATTTTCCTGAGAAGGCAGCCCCAGATCCTAACAAGGATTCTTTATGTGTTGGAGACACAATAGCCAAGAGGAAGTGAAAGATTACCAGGCACAGAGAAGAAAGAAGACAGGGTGGGGGTGGAGTGGGGGAGCAAGAAGGAAGCAGGGGAGAGAGACGTTTAGCTTGCACTGTCCAACACTGCAGTCATTAGCCACATGTGACTGGTCTGAATGGAGATGCTGGAAATGTAAAATACACATCAGATTTCAATATAGTATGAAAAAACAATGTACAATATCCCATTAATACATGTTCTATTGATTATTCCATGTCGAACTGATAATGGGTTGCATAAACTATGCAATTAAAATTAATTCCACCTGTTTCCTTTTCTCTCAATATGGCTACTAGAAAATTGAAAAAGACACACGTGGGTCACATTAGTGGTTTGTATTTCTACTGGACAGTGCTACCTTAAAGAGTCCCTGCACATGGTCATCAGATAGTACATCAGCCCAGGACAGAGAAGCCATGGTGGGTAAGTTGCATAAGTGGAAACAGAGGAGGGACACAGGCCAGGTGGGAGGGAGTAAAGGGAGACAGTGTTCAGCAGTTAGTTCCAGTTTTAGGGTTGAGTGTGATCAGGGAGAAGTACTTGGACAGACAATGGGGCAGACCCCCAACAGAACCAGAAAGGCACTGCCCCCGTTCCTTGATCAGTCAAATCTACACCCAGATCATAGCTTAGAGCTTCAGGCTTGAAAAGAGTGCTTAGAGGCCGGGCGCTGTGGCTCACGCCTGTAATCCTAGCTCTTGGGAGGCCGAGGCGGGCGGATTGCTCAAGGTCAGGAGTTCAAAACCAGCCTGAGCAAGAGCGAGACCCCGTCTCTACTATAAATCAGAAAGAAATTAATTGGCCAACTAAAAATATATATACAAAAAATTAGCCGGGCACGGTGGCGCATGCCTGTAGTCCCAGCCACTCGGGAGGCTGAGGCAGGAGGATCACTTGAGCCTAGGAGACTGAGGCTGCTGTGAGCTAGGCTGACGCCACGGCACTGACCCTAGCCTGGGCAACAAAGTGAGACTCTGTCTCAAAAAAATAAATAATTTAAAAATATATATAAGCTAAGAATACCATCACAAAATATTTACTTATGAAAGCAACTTAGATGACATAATTATTTTGTTGGTGAATAAGTAAATTTCAAAGTGGACTGATCAAGAATTAAATACACCTATGTTTAAAACAATCATACCTATGTTATTAATATGTGTGTTTAAGGAATCTCAGGGTACTTAGTATTTTAAGTAAATTTACACATTTAAGATAATCTGGCCTAGGTTATCTTTATAATTTTGATTTAAAATGTGACATTGAGGAACTGCTCTAGATTAGTAATTACAAGCTCAAATCTTACTACATTTATACAAGGCTTTGAAACATACAGGAGTATTTAAGGTCTTTACATAGGTACGCATTTAATTTATAAGAATTACTTAAGTATTCTGAGAAGATTTAAATCAATTGCAGCACATAAACAAAAAAATAGATTAAATGTATAACTGTAGTTTAAAACATCTAAGATCCCAGAAACAGTGACACAAAAGAAAAAGAAAAAAGAAATAAAACACCTAAGATATTTAAAAGTTTTGAATTTCATAAATTGAACACTTATTTGATTTTATCCAAAGTAAACTGTTTCTGGCACACAAAATCCCCTCAAGGCACAAACTAAACTTCTATTTAACAACTAGAAGGATCCATGGAAAGTTCAGAGGAGAAGAAGGGCAAGAGAAATGCGGCTTAGCTTTTAATCAGTGTTGGTTCTTTGGGAAACCAAAAAAAGCCATGGTCTTAGAAAAGCATCAGAAAACTGAGTTCTCAAGCCTCTTTTTCTCCCCCAGGGAGCACAGCCTTCCCTTCCTTGGAAGAAACCTCTCACTTGCTCCTATCAGCCTGCGGGCCTCGGTCAGGGGCTGTTCCTGGCTCCTAACAAGCATGAACAAAGGAACAGAAAGAAGGACAAAGAGGAAGGGGAGGATGGGGAAAGAAGAAATGGGGACAGAGCACAAAGCATTTTCCTGAGAAGGCAGCCCCAGATCCTAACAAGGATTCTTTATGTGTTGGAGACACAATAGCCAAGAGGAAGTGAAAGATTACCAGGCACAGAGAAGAAAGAAGACAGGGTGGGGGTGGAGTGGGGGAGCAAGAAGGAAGCAGAGGAGAGAGACGTTTAGCTTGCACTGTCCAACACTGCAGTCATTAGCCACATGTGACTGGTCTGATGGAGATGCTGGAAATGTAAAATACACATCAGATTTCAATATAGTATGAAAAAACAATATACAATATCCCATTAATACATGTTCTATTGATTATTCTATGTCGAACTGATAATGGGTTGCATAAACTATGCAATTAAAATTAATTCCACCTGTTTCCTTTTCTCTAAATATGGCTACTAGAAAATTGAAAAAGACACACGTGGGTCACATTAGTGGTTTGTATTTCTACTGGACAGTGCTACCTTAAAGAGTCCCTCCACATGGTCATCAGATAGTACATCAGCCCAGGACAGAGAAGCCATGGTGGGTAAGTTGCATAAGTGGAAACAGAGGAGGGACACAGGCCAAGTGGGAGTAAAGGGAGGCAGTGTTCAGCAGTTAGTTCCAGTTTTAGGGTTGAGTGTGATCAGGGAGAAGTACTTGGACAGACAATGGGCAGACCCCCAACAGAACCAGAAAGGCATTGCCCCCGTTCCTTGATCAGTCAAATCTACACCCAGATCATAGCTTAGAGCTTCAGGCTTGAAAAGAGTGCTTAGAAAGGCATTCAACCCTACTTCCCCATGCCCTTTTATAGCTAGAGGAAACTAAAGCCGACAGAGGAAAGATAAATAGTTGAGAAAGGGTCACAGAGCTTCCTTCAAAAACTTTATATTTTACATTTACAAATACCTAAAAATCTGATCTTCTACAAGCTGCCAAGCTTGACCTTGGTATACATAATATTCAATGAGTGAAAAGTGTGAACACAAGGAAAGAACACAGCCATCAGGTGGTTCTTACTGGGGGGGGGGTGATTTTGACTCCTGGGGGACATTTGTTAATGTGGAGACATTTTTGGTTGTAACATCTGGGGGGGAGGGGCAGGTGCCACTGGGATCTAGAAGGTAGAGGCCAGGAATGCTGTTAAATATCCTACAATGAATGCACAGGATACCCACACACACAACAGAAACTAAAATGTCAGCCTAAAATGTCAACAGTGCCAAGGTTGAGAAACCCTGCTACAGATGAAATCACAGCAATGCTGCTTGTTCCATAAGTGGTTCTATTTCAAGAGAAAGGGGCACTGTTGGTGCTCACTATTTTGTAATCCCAGCTTTCCTGCCCACCCCCACAGTGTCAGACCCAACTTTGCCTCCATTTCCTACTCCATGAAGTGAAGTAATCACTTTAAAATACCCTGATGCTCCAACCAAACTAATTTTGAAAACCTCTACAAGAATGTAAAGTGCTCCTGAAAATCCGTTTATCTCTAGCAGGAATGTTCCTTAAGTGGAGCTGGTGGCTCGCGCGACTCGGCCTGATGTAATCCTAGCACTTTGGGAGGCCAAAGCAGGAGGACTGATTGAGGACAGGAGTTCCAGACCAGCCTAAGCAAGAACAAGACACTGTCGCTACAAAAAATTAGAAAACAAAATCAGCCAGGCATGGTGGCACATGCCTGTAGTCCCAGCTATTTGGGAGGCTAAGGCGGGAGAATCACTTGGGCCCAGGAGTTTGAGGTTGCTGTGAGCTATGATGAGGCCACTGTATTCTAGCCTGAGCAACAGACCAAGACTGTCTCAAAAATTAAATAAATAAATAACATAAAACACTTCTGAGCAAAATGGGCTCTGAAGTCTAAAGAACTGAGTCCAGATATGTGGTAAGAGCTTTTGAAAAACAAAGCTCTTGGGGGTGGGGCTTGGCTCAGAAAATCAAAGTTTGTGGCTGGCAGTAGCCTTAGAGTCTACCTATTTAAACTCAGAGAACAAGCTAAGGCCCAGAAAAAAGTTGAGGTTACACAGAAAGTTCCTTTATACTAATTTCTAATGTCAATTAACTGACTATAGAGCTACCTTTTTCAGGTAATTAACAGGATCCAGCTCTGAGAATCATCTTTTCTGACCTACCCACATCTCCCAAAAGAGCCCATTATCCTGAAATTGTCTATTTCTATCTTGTGGCTTTCATAAGCCACTAGCTATAGTATATAAGTATCAATCTGGGCCTGGCTAGTATATAAGTATCAATCCTCATACTCTGGAAGGTTGAGGCAGTAGGATCACTTAAGCTCAGGAGTTTGAGGTTGCTGTGAGCTAGGCTGACGCCACAGCACTCTAGCCCATGCAACAGATCAAGACTCTGTCTCAAAAAAAAAAAAGTATCAATGTGACCTTTTTTTTTTTTTTTTTTTTTTTTTTTTTTTGAGACACAGTCTGGCTCTGTTTGCACGGGCTAGAGTGCTATGGTGTTAGCCTAGGTCACAGCAACCCCAAACTCTTGGGCTCAAGCGATCCTACTGCCTCAACCTCTGAGTAGCTGCGACTACAGGCATATGCCACCATGGCCGGCTAATTTTTTCTATATATATATTTTTTACTTGTCCAGAAAATTTCTTTCTATTTTTTTAGTTGAGCCGGGGGTCTCGCTCTTGCTCAGGCTGGTCTCAATCTCCCGGCCTTGAGCGATCCTCCGTCTCAGCCTCCCAGGGTGCTAGGAGTACAGGCGTGAGCCACCATCCCCGGCCAATCTGACCCTTTTTGAAAACATTTTCTCTGCATATCTCTCCATGTCTTTCTATCTGCTGAGCTCTTTCCTCCAGATGTCTCAGCCTTTGAGGCTGGGGAACTTTTGCTGACCAAGTGTTTGACTTTCTCAGTCTGCATTCTACTTCTGTGGAAAGAAAGAGAGCTGGTTAGGCCTAATTCTGCATCCAATTTCCGGAGGAAAACCCCGACTCTGCCCTGGGCAACAAACTGAATCCTGCACTGGAGGGCACAGGGCAGACGTGAAGAGCTGAGAGAATGGCAAGAGTGAGAGGAAGGCCTGTGGTCATTCCATAGACGCAAGAGGGCAATTCCTCCTCGAAGGCCAGGGTACCGAGAGTGGAGGGCAGAGGGCACAGGAATCCAGCGCCAGGGGGAGGCCAGAGAGTGGAGAGATCGGTACCAGGAGAGGGGACGCTCCCGGGGCGAGACCTAACGGATCAGGCGGAGCTGTCAGGCAGAGAGGCCCCTGGAGGAGATGGGGGCAGGCGAGGTCAGACAGGCTGGAGCAGAGACTCCTTTGCAGGAGAGGCTGTCAAGGACGCTGCTTGGGGGAGGAAAAGGGTCGTCAGGAGGCTCCTGGAGGCGGCGCGGCTCCAGGGCGCTACCTCACCTGGGGCCCGGCCGCCGTGCTCTCTGCCGCCACCTCTGCCCGTGCAGCCCGGGCACAGCTCGCCAGGACCACGAACTCGGATGGGTTGCCGGGCGCAGCCCCCAGCAGGGCCGCCTTCACAGACGTGGTGCCCAGGTCAATGCCGAGAGTGACGGGCCGCGCAGCCATGACCTCGCTGACCCGCGCAGCACAGTCTGCAGCCCGACGCGCCCCCGCCCGCACACTTCACCCGGGTGGGAGGCTCCGGGATGGGGCCCCGCCTGCCAATCTTTCAGCCACACCCAACATGGCGTTTTCCAGTCTTCCCATTGGTGGAGGAAGGCAGACCCCCTACGCGCCCCTCGCGGCGGGGCCCGGCTATAGGCGGAGAGGCAGTGGAAGGCGGGACCTTAGAGGGCCCCGCCCCGCAGGGCTGCCGTTCCGGCACAGACGAGCGCTGGCCGAGCCTAGCTCACCAAAAGAGCGGATGGCTCGCCAAGGGGCGCCGGAGACTCCCAGAGCCTCGGTTTCCCTAGAAGTGACTGGATCCTCCCTCACACCAGAGCCTCCATCTCTGCCAAGGCCCCACCCCTCCGCCCCGCCCAGCTCTGGCCGGCTAAGTCTCCCACTACAACTCCCAGAGCGCACCGCGCGGAGATGAGCGCCCACGAGTCAGGTGGCTGAGGTCAGGTGACAGCGGGCCCGCCCTCCACAAAGTCTAGCCGGCCGGGGGAACCGGCACCGTCCGGAGTGGCAGCTGGCGCGAGGCTCCTACGTCCCGTGTGGTCGTCCTCCGAGCCTCGGAGCCTCTGAGGTGAGAGGCAGAGCCCTGGAGGTCCAGAGACTGGCCCACCGCGTCAGTGGAGCGGCCAGCCACGGATCCAGCCCCCTTCACCCGCGCCTCGGTGCCACCCCTTGCCACCAGTCCTGGCCTCGCGACACCGGACAGCCCCCAGGTTTAAGGGCCCGGGTGGTGGTGAGCGGCAGCAGGGTCGCCGTGTTGCCGGGGTGGTGCGGGTGTCTACCCCAGCGCGGTTTCGAGACCCTGCCCTGCCTCCTGCTTAGCTGCCGCCTGGATCTGGGTTGGGGAGTTTTCAGATTGCTTTGGAGAAGCCAGACGCTGAGGGGACCACGGGCAGGAGCTCCTGTTGACAGGGCTGAGTCCTGGGCTCCGAGGGACTACTGGACAGAACGAGGCCCACCCAGCCCTCTGGGGTTTTCAAGACTGGAGGAAGGGAGAATACCTGGACTCTGCCTTTTTAAAAAGCATTGAGGAAAATAACATGCTACAGGAGAGCTTGCTAAGTTCCTTAGGCAACAGAAGTAATCACTTCTACTTTGTTTCTCAACATTTTTATCCTTATTAACCCCCTTCCATGAAACCTTAATACACCAGTAAATTCTGTGTTTGTTTATCTACTGTAGCCCTTTGCAGGGCCACAAACCTTTGTAATATCTAAGAGATTTTTTTCTCATCACCCCACAAGAGCCATTTTTAGTCCCAGTTGAGAATGTATGTTTCATCTCATTTAAATCCTGTGAGGTAGTTGTCACCATCCTTGTTTTCCCACTAGGAAATTGAAGCTTGAGGAGGATAAGTAGCACCACAAGATCACATAACTAATAAACGGGGGAGCCCGGGTTCAAACCTGTGCAGTCTGTCTCCAGGCACATATTCCTTGCCATTGTCTGTGTTATGCTTTTAGAAGTAGGAACCCCCAGGGAATTCCAGGCCCTAGAACAGAGGACAGGATTAACTCTGGAAGGGAGGAGCTGCCGCAGGAGATCTCAGAGCCCAGGTTACTCTGGGAGGGGATTAATGGGGTGGGGGAAGCTTCTTAAAATGCATGATATCTGACTTATGCAGGAAGAAGGGCATGTCAGACAGGGCCCATTGTTTGAAATGTTTCATTTCTACTTGCAGCTTTCACAAGGCACTAATTGTGTATAATTATTGATCTGATTTTTTTTTAGCATTTTAATTGATTTATCTCTCAATGTCTCTCATCTCTCATGTCATCTTCCAGGTGTCTCGGCCTTTGAGGCTGGGGAACTTCTGCTGACCAATTGTTTGACTTTCTCATTCTGCATTCCACTTATGTGAAATGAGAGAGGAGCCAGTTAGGCCTGATTCTCCATTTCATTTCTGGAAAAAAACCCAGACTCTGCCCTGGGCAACAAACTGAATTCTGAACTTGAGGGTACAGGGCATATGTGAGGAATAAAGAGTGGCAAGAGTAACAGGGAGACCTGTGGTCATTCCATAGACACAAGAAGGCAATTCCTGGAAGGTCAGGGTACAGAGATCGGAGGGGAGAAAGCACATGGATCCAGCACTAAGGGCAAAGCCCCCAGAGGAAGCCAGAGAGTGGGAAGACCTAAGAGATCAGGCAAAGAGGCCCCTGGAAGAGATGGGGGCATGTGGAGATCAGACAGTTGCAGCAATTGGGAAGACTTCTTTTGTTTGTTTTACTAATAGCGTTATATGATGCTAAGGCTAACTTCTTGAGGAAGGTGGAAGGGAGGTGTGAGGAGCTCCTGGAGGCCTTGGAGAAACTGAAACCAGAGTGGGAGCAGGGATGTTTCCACACAGACCTCATCTAGCTCTCCCCACTTTTTACAGAAACCCCCAGAGGCTGTCAGGGGTGGGAAGGCCTGAGCACTGTACCCTGAGGCAGAATGTAGAGTTCAAGTTATAGAAATCCATGCTGACCTGCCCCCTCTTAACCTAAGGTTTACCTGCTGTGTTTTGGTGTTATAGGAATGCAGCCCCCTGTCTCCCACTTTAAACCAATGAATTGCTACAGGACTCTGGGGCTTGTCCTCCCTGAGTCCTCATTGTGAATGATCCCAGTCAATCCTGGAAAGGTGCTATTTGTCAAGTTAAAAAGTCTTATTCATGGGTCAGCTGGTATCATTAGCCCTTGGATTCTTATCCCAGGACAGGAAATGAAATGAGTTTCCTTCAGGTTTGTAGGTTCACAAATTCAAATATCTGACCATGGCTTTAATAACTTTTGGGGGAAAAAAAAGAACCTCAAGCCAGTAAAACTACATCCTTTCTTTCTTTTAACTAAGTTATAGAAAGCAGTTGAGAAGGGGAAAACTTGGGTATTTGTTCACTTCCTCAGGGTGGGACTTTACACAACCCACTTAGCCGCTCTGAGCCTGTTTCCCCATATATCAAAGATAAGTTCTCTGGGGTCTCCTCCGAGGTTGTGATGCAAAGCCTGTGAGGTCACCAGTATAAGTGAAAGTCCATTATGAGCTGTCCCACACCATGGTTCCAAATGGCATATTGTCCACCTGGAGCTGAGCTGATTCAACTTTAATGTGAACTTGCTTTTTTTCTTCCTAGTTCTGAGAAATCCGGGGAACATGTTAAAGAACTGGCTGATTATTTTTATCCTTTTTCCCCTGAAGCTCATAGAGAAATGTGGTAAGTTTAAAAATAGGTCATCAACTTTGTAAAGAGGGAAATGGTGGCTAGAGGAGTGAGTAGCCTGCCCTGTTTGTCGTCAAGGGTATAATGCTGTCCAGACTATGTGGGTCTGTCTGCCCCTCAGCCAGGCGGCCACTGGGCTGGTAAAGCAGACCCAGGTCCAGGGCCCAGGAGTTTTACAAAGAGCCAGATGGCTCCACAAATAATTGGCCTTCTCCCCTGGTGTCCCTGTTACCTTTTCTGTATCACCAAAGTCAACAGTTGGTTCTTAAAGTCAAGAGTATGCAACTGGCTCTCAAAGTATAGTAAAACTGTGAAGCCCCAACAACCTAAGATAATACATTAAAGAATGCCTTATGCCCCTGCCCCATGGACCTCACAGAGAGTTGTGGGTCCTAGGAGACCCTGGGGAGGCAGATGAGGTAGCCACCCTGTTGTGCCTGCCAAACACAGATAACCTAAGGAGTCTGCCCGGCATCTCCATGTAAGATAAGAAAACCTTCCCCTTAGAGAGGGGCTAAAAGACAGGGTACGACAGCCCCAGCAGGTCTAGGGGCCACACAGAACACATCAGAGTTTGCACATCCTTGTAGGAAGACTGATTGTCATTCTAGTAATTCTCCCACTGCCCAGAACATTTCTGGAATTCCTTCCATGAAGAGCTGTGTTTAATTAACACTCCAAGGGGGCCACTGTTGTTTTGATCCTCAGCTTGGCTGTTGTCAAAGATCAAAGACTTCTTGAAATCCCTGGCTAAAGACTGCAAGATAGTAAGTGATAAACAACACAAATCCTGCAGAAGTTTCCCAAGAGCTTTGTACTATTGTGGTTATCTGGCTTCTTAAATCTCTGAGCAAAAACAGTGGTCATTAGGTCACTTAAAGGTTTGTTAAAGCATGTTTCTTTGTAGTCACACCTCCTGAATAGGCAATTTCCAAGAAAGGAAAAGTCCTTTAGACCATGGAACCCAGTGTTTCTCAACATGGGTGCCAGAGCCCCACCCCAGCCCTATTGGATCATATTCTCTGGGACTGAGGCTCGAGTGTGTGTGTACACACACGTGTGTGCTTATTTGCACACTCGAAATCTCCATTAGTAATGCTAATGTACTTCCCTAGGGGAAAAAAAAATCCAACTACCACCCTTCCAATTATACAGAGGAAAAACTGAGGCCCAGAGAGGGTAGAAGATTTTCCCAAAGTCACACAGCTAGAAAGTAACAAAGCTGGTACCCACATAGGACCCTGGTTCCCTCTCCATTATATTAATACATTTCATCTTCAAAATTACCCTGCGAGATAGCTTTTGTTATTCTCCCCATTTTATAGGTAAGGATAGGCTGTAGGTTCAGATAGGCTAAGTACCTATGGCCACATAGCTAGGAAATGTCAGCCAGAATGGAACTGTGTGTCTTCAGAGCCCAATATCTCAGCTCGGAGCACTACTGTCTTCTGTGGTGCTATGTGAGGGGGAAATAAACATTCTCTGATCCTGTTCTTTGAGAGTTCACAACCTCTCCTTTTAAAATGCTAAGACTGGCCCGGGGTGGTGGCTATCACCTGTAACCCCAGGACTTTGAGAGACTGAGGTGGGAGAATCACTTGAGGCCAGGAGTTCGAGGCCAGCCTGAGCAAGAGTGAGATTCCCCCTCTTTACATAAAATAGAAAAATTAGCCAGGCAAGGTGGCGCCCACCTGTGGTCCCAGCTACTCAGCTGGCTGTGGCAGGAGGATCACTTGAGCCCAGGAGTTTGAGGTTGCTGTGAGCTATGATGACGCCACTGCATTCTGGCCCGGGCAACAGAGTGAGACTCTGTTCAAAATGCAAGGACTGTGAAAGAGCTAAGGCCATCCAGAAATGCAGACCTATGGGTGGCTGCCTGGCATCACTCTCAGTATCCCTGTCCTGAGCAGTGGCTGGTTCTGGGACTTGCTTATCTTGTGTAGTCCTCAGCTGTAGGTCAAATTGAGCAGGCAGGGACAGGAAGTCCTGCACTACCCCAGCTGTGCAAACCCAGAACAAAGCCTCGGAATGGTCTCAGAGCCATGAGCACAACAAAGAAGCAATAGAGTTGCCAAAGCTGCCTCTGGGTCCTGAGGCTTCATGTAAGAGGGACCTAACAGCTTGCCCTCTGCAAAGGCCAGTGCGGGGCCATCCTACCCTGAGGGGTCCAGCCAGGCAGTGGGGGACTGGAAACTGTGGGTTGTGGGAATCTCAGCCTGGGGACTTTCAGATTCAAGAGCTTCCATCTTCATTCACATGTGCAGGACTAATATAAAGAAAGCAGTTCAGATAGGGTCTGAGAGGCTCTAGGTAACAGAGGCAGGCCCAGGAGGGCAAGTTTTAGGCTGACCGAGTCCCTGGAAGGAGGTGAGGTTACTATCTCTGGAGGTGTCTAGGCAAAGGAAGAGAAACTACCTGGCAGGAATATTGAGACAAGGAATCAGAGGTTGAATTAGGTAACTTTAAGTTTCCTTCCAACCCAAGCATCTAAAATTTCAGATCTCAAATTTTTCATCTGCCTTTGAGGGGTCTGGGTGGAGGGACAGCTAGGCCTCCCTGATAGACACCTCCCTCTACTAGATGCCTTCATCAGAGTTGTGCACCTGCTTCCCCAGCTCAGTCTAGGTTCATGATCATGACCTTTAGGCTGTGCATAACCTGAAGGCAGTGAGGCAGGGGAGACGAGATGGGCAGGTGTGGCAAGGAACACACCTGGCAGTGGGGGCAGAGATGTGGGCTGCCCAAAGAATACAGGAAGCAGTCAGAGAGAGGCTAACTCAGTCACATTCTGTGAGCAAGGTGTTCCATAGGTATTTGGCCCCCAAGATAAGGTGTTCCAAGATCCAGACCTGCTTCCTCCCTCATCCAGGTGACCTATTTGGTTTTTTGTGGGGTTTTTTTGGGGGGGAGGGGAGTGTTTGTTTTTTCATTTTTTGTTTAGTCACAGGCACCTATTTGTGACTTTACCCTGAGTTAATACCTGAATGCCAAGAGGAAGTCCCTGATTGTTCACCCTTCTTCCTCCAGTCCCCAGCATATAGTCAGCCTCAGGAGGAGGGTCAGTGAGTAGAGCTGGGTTAGGAAGGGAGCCCAGAAGGATTCTCTAGAAACTTGGTAGCTGACAGTACAGGAAAGGGGCTGGACTAGGTCTCCAGGGCTATCCAGCTCCACGAACAGAGGAGACCCTTGTGCTTTCCCTCTGAAGAGGTGGCTCACATCTGCCTTTTGTAGTCCCAGGTTGTGACTGGAATTCCTTGTGGTAATTTTTGGACCCCATAGTTCTCAAACTATCTCTGAGTAGCTCAACTGCAAACCCTCAGAGCCTGTCAGTGGAGGGGGAAGGAAGCTACAGCGTTTCCTGCTCTGGCCTGTTTTCCTGCCTCTGTCTCTGGCAGCAGATGGGGAAAGAGTCTAATGAGGCCCAGATTTCCATTCCCATCATGAACTGGTCCTGGGCCTGAGCTCTCTGGCCTGACACCTCATGTCATTGATTTGGGCCCTTCCAGAGTCCACTGTCAGCCTCACTGTTCCTCCCGTCGTGAAGCTGGAGAAAGGCAGCTCAGCCAATGTCAGCATCGCCCTCGGGTAAGTTCCCACCTGGCTCTTTCCTCAGCCCCATTGGAACCCACGGTTGGGTCAAGGCTGACCCCAGGCTCTTGGTGTGTTATTTCCAATGTGACATTCTTGCCTCTTAACCATAAGACATAGAAAAGAGGGTGGTACTAGCCCCAGGCTGCACAGTGGGGTCCTACAGTCTGACCCCCACACTGAACCATTGTTTCCACGGACAGGAAGAGGAGGGGGTGTTTCTCCCAGAGACATGGGTCTTTTCCCCAAGTGAAAAGAGTCTTGAGTGATCAGCAACTGGTGCCAGACTTCATGGTAGTCCTTGCCAAAGCTCTGAATATTTGAAGAGAGCCCAAAGGTCCAGGGGCAAGGAGCTGAGCTGCTTGTCAGCATTTCTGAGCTCACTTCCAAAAGCAGAAGTGACCACATTGGGTGGATCCCGCTCCTGCCATGCTCATGCCTAGCCTTGTCTCTGAGTCTTACTTGCTGATGTATGCTTGTTCAGGCATGAGGGTCTCAACTAATCCAGACTGTGCCAAAGAGCCTGCCTCTTGCTTCTGTACTCTTGGCTGCTGTATCCTTTTCTTGCCTCCAGCCAGGAGGATTCCCTGAGATGACGATCTGGAGCCCTGTCCTTTACTCCTGTCCTCTTGCCTCACCTCTCCTGGGAGGTCAGATCTCAAACCAAAGCTTTGGTTCCACGGCCCTCTAGCAGGCCTGCCATTCCGTTCCCAGCTCCTGCCGGCTCTGCACTTCGACACCTTGTAATCTTATAAGTCATCCTCTTACCACAGCTCTCCCCTCTCTAGAACCCTTGGGTGTCCTCCCACTGCCTTCTAAGTTAACTCCAAGTCTTTAAGCCCAGAGTTGAGGCCCCGACAGGCTGCTCCCAGCTAGCATGTCTGCTTTATCCAGTCAGACACACCTTCCAGCTTTCCAGGGCCATGCTGCTCCCTCTCATGCCCTGCCTGGAAGGCCCTCACTTCCGTCAGTCAAATTCTGACCCTCGGGCAAGCACTTTGGGAGGTCACTTGAGGCCATGAGTTTAAGACTAGCCTGAGCAACATATCGAGACCCCATCTGTACAAAAAATACAAATATTACCCAGGCATGGTGGCACATGCCTATAGTCCCAGCTGCTCCATAGGCTGAGGCAGGAAGATCACCTGAGCCCAGGATTTCAAGGCTGTAGTGAGCTATGATCGCACCACTGCATTCCGGCTTGGATGACAAAGAGAGACCTTATATCTTTAAAAAAAAAAATTCTGATGCTCACTCAAAGCCCTTCTCAGACCTGAGCCCCTCAGGAAGCCTTTCCCACCAGAACAAGGAGCCATGGTCCTGTTAGCCACCACAGTCTTCATTTGTCATTCAGAGCCAGTTTGCTACATTCTCCTATTCTCACCCTACCCCCAAGGAACATCTAGTGTCCTGTCAGAAATAGAAAACCCCTAAGGAGCAGAGGTTCCACTTCTTTACCCCTCAGGGTTGAGCACATAGCTTTCCCTAAGCCTAATTGCTTGACAAAGGCCTGCTCGGTGTGAAATCCAGAGGGTGGGTTGAGACCTCAGGGAGTCAAATTTCTCAGCAGTAATCAGACTCTTATTGTCCACAGGCAACCATTAAACACAACCTTGGTGATCACTTTTGAAATCACATTTGCTTCAAAAAATATCACTATCCTTGAGCTCCCTGACGAAGTAAGTAATACATTTTAACTGGCAGGCAAGTGCTAGGTAACAAAACACATTTAATTAAGAGCTTGTGGAAATAGGTCACCTGGGCTGTCCCTGTTCCATCATCCTGGAAATCTATGATGTTGGCTTTGTTGGTCTCTTTGGGGATGAACATTGTAAATGCCTTTTAGATGGAACTAAGAAAGTAAGTTTTCTTACTAAGAAAGTAAGAAACCTGAGGCAGAAGTGGTTCTGAGAATGTAGACGTTCTTAAGATGGTTTTCTAACCCCTTGCTACTCAAGGGACACTCAGGGACCAGCAGCACTGGCCATGCTTAAAACCCTTTTAGAAATGCAGAACCCTGGGCATCATCCCAGACCTACTGATTCCAAGTCCGCATGGTAGCAAGAGCCCCTGATGATTTGGGTCCACATTAACTACTTCAGTGCGGTGCTCACCAGCGTGAAACCTTGCCCACAGCCAGCACTCATAGTCTGTACGATAGTTTGTGCTGTGCATTGACGACGAATCCATTTTGCCCTTGTGTGATGAGGAAGGCTTTAAAGCACTGAAAGCTTGTTTTACTTTACAGGCAGCTTTACTGGTAATCGGAATAGGTAACATATACATATATGTTTTCATTACGTCATTTTTAAATGTTCACAATTTTATTTTGATAAATGAAAAATTAGAAAAGTCATATCACGGCTGTCGGCTGCAGTCGACGCTTGGTTCATCTGTGGCTATCAACTATAGTCGATGCTCGGCTGTGCACATTCACTATGGCTGTCGACTATAGTCTACACTAGTACTGAAATGGTTAAAGTCTGTGAAGCACTGTTCTGAGAAACCATTGGTTAGGGGTCATTTCTAAAAACCTGTGTCAGAGGCCGTCTGGTCTCATAGTGAATATTCATAGCTTTATGCGTTTATCTGTTTGTGTGTACACTGCCTCCACCTTAACAAGGATTTGAACCAGGTGCCACTCAACTGGATAAAAGAAATCAATAGGGGAGTAAATAAGGATTTAAAATACAAACAATGGGCCGGCCGGTGGCTCACGCCTATAATCCTAGCACTCTGGGAGGCCGAGGCGGGCAGATTGGTCAAGGTCAGGAGTTCGAAACCAGCCTGAGCAAGAGCAAGACCCTGTCTTGCTATAAATAGAAAGAAATTAATTGGCCAACGAATATATATAGAAAAATTAGCTGGCATGGGGCGCATGCCTGTAGTCCCAGCTACTCGGAGGCTGAGGCAGCAGGATCTCTTGAGCCAGGAGTTTGAATTGCTGTGAGCTAGGCTGGACGCCAGGCACTAACCTAGCCTGGACAACAAAGCGAGACTCTGTCTCAAAAAAAAAAAAAACAAATAAAATAAAATACAAACAAGATGAATGAAATTCAGGATGAATAATTTCTGGAGACCTGTTGTACAGCATGGTCACTATAGTTAATAATCATGTACTACATACCTGAAAACTGCTAAGAGATTAGATCTTAAATGTTCCCACCACAAGCAGATGATAAGTATGTGAGCTGATGTCTATGTTAATTAGCTTGGTTTAATCACCTCATACTGTATGCATATATCAAAGAATGGCAATGCATGCTGTAAATATATATAATTTTTATTTGTCAATTATACCTTAATAAGCTGGGGGGCAAAGATGAATGCAGAGGTGAGAGAGGTGGCCATGAAGTGCTTCATGAGACCCTGGGTACTTGCAGAGATGGGCTGCAAATCAGCTCTGAGCCCCCAGCAAGCAAACAGGAGTGAAACGTGCTCAGTCCCAAGCATTTCTATGATCTGAAAAATACAGCATTGCTGAGAGGGATCCAGGTGTCCAACTAAAGGGACCCCTGGATGAATGTCCCTCCCTGGTGAGCACCAGACCTCATTAGACAGCGCCATTTCCCTCCGCTCTCCCTCTTGCCCAGCGCTCAGGGCAGGGCGAGGAAAGCCACCAGTTCTCACTGCAGGTTCTGGCACACAGCCCTCTGACCTGCAGATCAAATTTAGACCCTCAGCAAAAACACTGATCACTTAGTTTAGGGCCAAACAGCTAAGTGAAAGTATCATCTTTTAAAAATCAGTGAAAGTCACAAATGTTAAGCAAAAGAAGCCTGACACAAAAAAAGCCTGAGCTGTATGAAGGGCTAGGGGAACACACGGGGCTTCTGGGATTAAAAAAAAATTTTTTTTAACAATCCTAAACTAGAGACACAATGTTTCATTTCTTGATCTGGGAGCTGGATGTGTTCATTCTGTAGACATTTCATCAAGCTTTGATGTGTGTATTTTTCTGCATATATGTTATAGTTCAGGGTCAGGTTTTTTTGTTTTTTGTTTTTTTTTTTAATTTAACAATGGGAGTCAAGCCATGTGTGTTAAGATAATCTTTATGGGCACCACCCACCTTTTCAGGCTCCTGCCTCACTGGCCATTCTCCATCCAGCTCTAACCACTGCTCCCACTACCTGGGATGCAGGAAATCTCTGGTTAGAACATGGGAGTCAGGTGGTCCAGGGGCGTGGCCTGAGAGCATTGGGTACTTCACCTGATACAGTTGCCTCATTTGTAGGCATGGGGTTAATAATGTCTACCTGACAGCATTGTGAGGAATAAACACTAACCAAGTATAAAATGTCTAGGACTGTGCCTGGCACATAAAAAGCACTCCATGAAAGGTAGCAATCATTATCATTTCATTTTGCCTTGTATCAGCCAATTTCTGATTGACTGATTTTTTTCCCTGCTTTGTTCCAGAAGGGATGGAGTGGCCACTTACAAATATGTAAACAACTTTGCAAGGAAAATCTATTAAAAATAAGAAAAAATGAGTTGATAGGAAAATAAATGAGCCAAGACTGGTACATGTCATGAAGACACATTGTAAGATGTAAGATGTGAACCATAAATTGGGCTCCAGGCTGTGTAGCAGCCACTTATATCATTTCATTTGTTCTGCTAAAGCCCCCTGATTTCTGGTATTAAGATAAAAAAAGGCAGTGCTTCAAGCATCCTCATTAAGAAGCCACTGCAATCAAATCAGCTAAATCCTCTCAGTACCTGTAATGTGGGTGGAAGGTGGGACCCAGAGTGTTATCCAGAAAGCAAAGAGGTTGGGGGCAAGGGGAGACAGTTTGGTTCTGTAAAGCTATCATCCTGCTCCCTGCCACTCTGGGGGGATTTGAAAGTATCAAGAGGAACGGTTGGGAGATCAGATATTGCAGGCAGACCTCCAGGTACTTTTTGTGGAGCAGAGCTTTTGATAAATGTTGGGCAGAAATGAGGGTAAAAGTCTTCTCCTTGTTACATATCTGGTGCATACACCTTTTCTGTTTTGTCACTTGGCAACCAGGCTGGGCATGGGACAGACTTCTGTCTATGGATATTGAGGAGCTAATAATGATGGAAGCATAAGTAATTGTAGTTGTAGTATAGTAGTGATTGTAAGCATGTACAGCTTGCCGTGTGTCGGGCTCTATACTATAAGCTTTATTCTGTCATTCATAGCAACACTAAAAGGTAGATACTTTTGTTAACCCTTTTTACAGATGAGCAGACTGAGATCAGAGCTTGAATAACTTGCCCAAGGTCACATGGATAGAGCAAGGAAGAGAACATCCCCCCTTCCCTCAGACATAAGCCAGGGAAGGCCTGAGGACAAGCCCATAGCTCTGCTCAGAGAGTCTGACACAGATGTATGGGGGCTTCGAGTTGGCTGGTGGGCCCAGTGTCTCCCTCTAGTTAGTAAGCTCGTGGAAAGCAGGGCCCGTAGGGGACACATCCCTATGTTCCCTAGCATGGCACCTGGAGCTAGATATCCAGTGGGACCCTCAGTAACATTCAGTCTTCCTAACAGGTTTTGGTGCCTCCTGGAGTGACAGATTCCTCTTTTCAAGTGACGTCTCGAAATGTTGGACAAGTTACTATTTACCTGCATGGAAATCATTCCAACCAGACTGGGTAGGCTGGCCTAGCCCATGTGGGCCTTACGTGATGAGAGAGGAGGCAATGTGGGGCACGTGGGGGTTTTCTCCAGAAGCCCAGCCTCAGCTCATCCCGGTCCCCAAATTCCTTTCCAGTCCAAGGATACGCTTCTTGGTGATCCACAGCAGCGTGGTGAGCATCATAAACCAGGTGATTGGCTGGATCTACTTTGTGGCTTGGTCCGTCTCCTTCTACCCTCAGGTGATCAAGAACTGGAGGCGGAAAAGGTAACCACTGAGGTTTGTGTGCAGGTTGACTTGGGGCCCGTGGGGGTGGGGGGAATTCCAGCAAGGCTGCAGGCATTTCGGTGTCATGTGTCCCCCTCTGCTCTTCTCTCTGCCTGCCTGTGAAAGCTCTCGCTAAGCACCTGGGTAGGACTTCCAGTGCTGTGCGTTTGGTACCTTGCCCAGCTCAACCCCTCCCTATGAAAGCAGCAAAATGGGGCTTCTCAGTTAAGTGAAGAATGGGCATGTGGGGGAGGTCCACCCGAATACTCTCTGCTCAGATCCAGCCCCGGAAGACTTCACTGTCACGTCATATGCCCTTCAGCCTTGGAGATTAAGCAGTCCTGCCTTGACTCGCGTCTTCTTGCAGTGAGGACTCGAGTTTCTGCAGTCACCTTGGCCACATGGGCCTCTTAGGGGGCTGCCGAGCAGAGAGCCAGGGAGGGACATGCGTCCTTTCTTCAGGCGGCCTCCAGACTTTACTCTGGGGGCCAGGACTTGAGCAGAGAAATCTCTGGGGGGTGGGGGGAGGTGAGAGGAGAAAGGAACCAGCTCTTAAGAGGGCAGGGACTGGGTGGCATCGACTGTGTGTCAAGAGGGACCTAAGGACATTGCTCTCCTTGAGGAGGACCAGGCCCTCCTTCCCCGTGTGCTAGGAGCTCTGTCCCATTTCCAGCAGTGGCCCCAGACCTCACTCCCTGCCCTGCCTTGTCCTTTCTGCCCCTACAGTGTCATTGGTCTGAGCTTTGACTTCGTGGCCCTGAACCTGACAGGCTTTGTGGCCTACAGTGTGTTCAACATCGGCCTGTTGTGGGTGCCCTACATCAAGGTATGGACCTGCCTGGCCCCACAGCCCTGCCCAGGCTGCTTGGTGACCTGGCTGCTCTTCATCACTCAGCTCCTTCCCATATCCCCAAATAGGAGCAGTTTCTCCTCAAATACCCCAATGGAGTGAACCCCGTGGACAGTAATGATGTCTTCTTCAGCCTGCATGCAGTCGTCCTCACTCTGATTGTCATTGTGCAATGCTGCCTGTATGAGGTGAGAGATCAGGCCTGGTGGCCTGGCCCACCACGGCTGCCCCAGCCAGTACCCACCCCCAGCCCCCCACCACCTCTGCCTCATCTGAGAGAAGATGCACAGAGAGACCCCAGAAATGAAATGGGTGCCTTCATTCAGCATCTGCTTCCTGGGGGCCAGGCCCCATGCTGGGTACAGGGAATGGCCTGTGAGTCCAAGCCCTCCGGGACCCCCCAAGTCTGGGGTGAGCACACGGAGAGGCGATGACAAGCCAGCAGGTCAGGCGCCAAGCGGAGCACAGGCAGCTGACGGAGCATAGTGGAGGCCCTGAACCTGACTGGGGAGGAGAGCAGCACATCGTAGAAATGCCACTTAGTCGTGATCCGAGGATGAGTGGCATTCCCGTGGTGGTGGGAAGAGGGGTGGGGTGGGGCACTCCCCATGGGGAACAGAGTCATGGAGGCCGAGGGGCAGATGGTGCAGCAGGGGTTCAGGGTGCCAGTGGGGGGCAGACTCAGAAGAGGTCAGGAGGGGTCCTGGGGACCAGGCTGAGGAGCGTGGACACAGCCTTGGTGCTGGGACATTGGTGTCTCAGCAGGGAAGGGCGCTGTTAGGGCTGTTATGACAGCTTTGCTTTCACTTCTCCCTCAGGGAGTTCCCTTTACGCACTGTGCAAGGCCAGCGGGGGCTGTTTGGCTGCCTCCTTTATGGACCTTCTAGGTTTTCTTAGCCTTTGCTGTGACGCTCAGATGAAGGAAGCCCACTTTGGGGCTGTGTCCAGGGAAAGGCAGCGGTAGGAGACAGATTCCTGAGATCATCGGGTCAAGGGACAGGTCATCCTCTAGGCTGGAGCAGGTGACAGGCCTCCGGAGTATTGGAGTTTATGTCCTCAGCACCCTTTGCTCCTTCTGAATGAGCTCTGAGAGGCACCCAGTTTTGCAAAGTGGAAGCAGAGCAGATGGGAGCTGGAAAGTCCAAGGTGGACAGGAGACCTTGATAGTAAAAAGGTGTGGTGGGTGCTGCAGCCATGACATCCTATCCTGTGACCCAGATGGAGCCCAATGATCTTGGGAATCCGTCCCCACCCTGCCTTTCCCTGCACACAGCCCCAGTGCAGGCCTCCAAGCTTCTGCCTTCCGCTCGCCCCTCCACGCCCATGCCCTCCCGAGACCCTGCAGCAGCCTCTGTGCCCGTCCACACCTCCCCTGTCTCATCTTGTCCTCAGCGAGGCAGCCAGCGCGTGTCGTGGCCTGCCATTGGCTTCCTGGTGCTCTTGTGGCTCTTTGCGTTCATCACCATGATTGTAGCTGCAGTCGGGGCGACCACATGGCTGCAGTTTCTCTTCTGCTTCTCCTACATCAAGCTAGCGGTCACGCTGGTCAAGTATTTTCCACAGGTACTTCCAGGGCCTTCCTGCATGTTCACAAGCCAGTAGTGTGAGAGGTGCAGAACCTGGGCCCTGCTCCCGTGGGGCAGCTTCTGCAGGGGCGGGGATGAGAATGGAAGGCCACTGTGGGAGCCAGTGAGCTGGGTAGGAACAGGGCCAGCAGAAAGCCAGTCAGCAGGCATTGCTGCCCACTCTTCCCAGAGCCAAGTCACACAAGCAAGTCAGTAGAGGGTCCTCAGCCCTCCCCGCTGAGCACCAGGGTTGTTCAGGTCGTTTCCCATCCCCATATCCCAGTCTTTCCCAGTGACTCCAGTCCTGCCCCCATTACTGCCACAATGGACATTCCCAAGGAGGAGCAGCAGGAGATTGGGAGAGATCTGGTGGGAGGAGAAGCCCATTACTACCAGCAGCCCTGTGCAGAGCTGTTCTCCTTGGAGGTCCCTTAGCACCCTCCTACAAGTGCTCAGACAGTCCTGTTCAGATTGGGGGTCTTGGAGTCAAACACATCTTCCCCCATAGTTGGAATGGCCCAGGCCAGGGCCAGTGGCTGCACCTGTGGACCTAGGGCTGCACTTAACTCACCTCATTCCCAAGGGAAAAGCCCCTTTGCCAGCTTCCCCAGCACTGGCACCACCTGTGTTCCATGGACTCAGGAAGGCGAGTGTTTTGGCTAGGAAGCAGGGCTAGACCCTCGGGGTGGGCAGGAGTTAATTCTGTGGACGAGAGAGGAGAAGGGCATTCCAGGCCAAGGTAGCCTGTGCAAAGGCAAGGCAGGGGGGTGTGGGAGGCAGTGAGGGGACCGGGCTGGCCTGGCAGTACTGAGAGTGCTGCCGCTGGGGAGAAAGGGCCAGGCCCCAGAGGCTGGGAGGGCTTCTGAGTGGGGGAAGGTCTGAGGGAAACGGGGCCTCAGTTTCTGAGTGTGGAAAGACTTGGGGTTAGGATACCTGGGAGGCAGGAGCCAGCTTGGAGATGTCTGGAATCCTGTAGGACTGGAGAGGTAGCAGCAAGTCTGGGAGAGAGTGGGAGAGGACAAAGATGGGACCTGAGTGGTGACTGGTGGGGAGAAGACCACCAAAGAGGCCAAGACCTGTGTCCCGGGTAGAAGGAAGGGAAGTTGCAGCAGTCAGAGCCACCCAGAAGGCAAGATGGTTTGGAAGGAAGGGTATAGAGTGCAGGCAGCAGGACTAGGGGCACATCCCAGGGGACCCAACCACTAGACCCAGGAAGCCCCAGGTGGGCCTGAGTTAACTCCACTCTACAGATGGGGAGACCAAGGCTAGGAGAACTCAGGAACTTGCCCAAGGTAGTACAGCTATGATGATACACAGAGATCTCAAACCAGGGTTTCTAACTCCCAGCCTGTTTCTTAAGCACAACGTGAAGTCCAGGCTGAGTCTGGGGACAGACATTGGAGGTGAGAAGAATCAAAGTTGTTCGGAAACCAAGATAGGGCTTTGTCCACAGGGAGAGATGGAGAAGATGGAAGTGGCCTCTGCCTTCCCTCCTTTGGAGCTGTGAAGTGCAGGGGAGGGACGAGGGGGCTTTGATTGCTATACATGCAGATGAGACTCCCAGGACCACCCAAACTGTTCCCTTGGCCGAGGTTTGTCAGAGCCCAAAGGTCACTGTGTTCCTTGGAGCCAAAGCCCAAGCACATGCGTGGGAGGAATTAGAGCCACTCTTGTTTAGAGGGGCAGTCACGAGGCATGTGAGGCAGCCGCCCAGCCCCCTCACCGCCCTCCATCTGTCTGTCTGTCTGTCTGGCCCAGGCCTACATGAACTTTTACTACAAAAGCACCGAGGGCTGGAGTATTGGCAACGTGCTCCTGGACTTCACTGGGGGCAGCTTCAGCCTCCTCCAGATGTTCCTCCAGTCCTACAACAATGGTGAGTCAGCCACCGGGCTGCCTGCCACCCAGTGGGCTGGAGGCACAGGGTAGGGCCAGGCTCCCCGGGACCTCACAGCCAGGGCTACACCCCCAGCCCCCAGCCTGCAGCCTGGGGTCCAAGCGGATCCCAGCACTCAAGCAGACACCCACCTGGGGCCTTTGTGGCTGGAGGATTTGTGGTTTTCTGGGCAGATGGGGACCCCTACCCCTCCCAGCCCCACAGGCTCCAGCTGCCAACCTAAAACCAAATTCTGTCTCCTGTGGCTCTTAACAGACCAGTGGACACTGATCTTCGGAGACCCCACCAAGTTTGGACTCGGCATCTTCTCCATCTTCTTCGACATTGTCTTCTTTATCCAGCACTTCTGTTTGTACAGAAAGAAACCAGGGTATGACCAGTTGAACTAGCACCCAGGGGCCCAAGGTATACAGCCCCAGGCTCTGTGCGCTGGTGGGGAAGACCCCAGCCAGGGAAGGCCTCAGCCAGCAAAGGCCAGAGTCGCAGGCTGGCTCGGCATGTGGACAGAGAAGTGCTGTCTTCCTCAGAGCCAAACACCTTGAACTCCAACCAGCCTGCCTCCCTCCAGGGCCCTCCTGCGCCTCCCTGGCCAACTGTCTGGCCCTCCTGCATCTTGATGCCACCGTCTCTCTTTTCTTTAAGGCTTCAGGCGGCCCACACAGGTTCTGGCAGCCGTCTCAGGCAGGACTGAGTGCTGAGCTTGCAGCCAAAGGCTTGCTCCAAACAACCAGTGTTTCTGGCAGTAGCTTGAAGGGCTGACCCTGCAGCCGGATTGCCAAGGGCACTTTGCTGCCACCGCTGTGTTTCCAGAGACCCAGCAGCCAGGTGCTATGGCCATTGGACTCAGAGGTGCTGGTGCTGGTGGCAGAGGGGCTAGGACTTTGGGGTCAGGCCTTGGGGTCTTTTCTCTGAAGTCCGCTTTCCTGACACTCATCCTAGGTAACTCAGCATCTGTGACTACAGTCACAGCTTGCCCACACCTGAGCATTTCTGAGCCCACCATACTGGTTCTGAAGTGGACTCACACCCAACACCCATCTTATCACAGAGTCAGATTGTCACACTAACTCCTTTCAGACATTTTGGAGAGATGTCTTGGAAGTGGCTCGCTTTCTTCTGCCCTTTCCTACCTCCACCTTCCCAGAGTCAGGTGGGGTCCCACCTGAGCACCCCAGCTGCTCCTTACCCTGCATCTGGGGTGCAGGACAGGCATACACATCGTTTCTCTCCCTCTTGTTACCAGTCTGTGCCTTAGAGGCCTGTTAGACCTGCCAAATGGTGAGAGGAGCTCCCCTGGAGAGGAGGGCAGGCACCCTTCCCTCACTTCTCCCAGCCCTCCCCCCCCCAGACTCACCAATTTGGCTATTCAGGAGCCTCACATAACTTAAGACCTCACACAACCCTTATGGGCTCGACCCTTACCTCAAACCTCCTCCTCTCCTACCCTAAGCTGCTGTCCTTCCTATGGCAGGAGGGGAGGGTCCCCGGACGTGCCTTGTACATGCCTCAAGTTTGTCAGTCTACCCTGACTTTTTTTACTGCAAGATCAATGTGAGGGGCCTGTATCTCTAATTAAAACCTGACTTGTTTCCTTTCTGCATACTCTGAGCATTTGCTAGGTGCAGAAGGCAGGTGTGTTGGCCTTCAGAGTCAAGTCCCTGGGCTTAGGGAGACGGCCTTGCTCTCCCGTGTAAGGAAGCACATAGGGTTGTGAAGTTCACTACTGAGGTGGCTGCGTGCTGACCTTGCACTCCGCTGGGGTGCCCTCTTGCGTAGTGCAAGACACCTGCCCGCTAGGGCCAGGTAGGTCTCACAGGTACCACATCCTTGCCGTTACTGGGGTACGCCACTCACGATGTTGATGTGAGTAGGGCTTGGGTGAGGTTTTTAAGGGCATGCCACCACTGGGACACTGGGAGGGTGGGTGGTGGGGGTCTTATTTTCCAGAATCTTCCTCTATCCAGTGGTAACAAGTGTCAAAGCATTTAAGGTCTTGTTGCTGTACAGCAGAGATGGCAGCCTGACCAAGCCCAAAGGACTGTTTTATTTGGGCCACCCAGTGATTTTCACAAAATGTGACTAGGTATCATACTTTAAGAAATGGTAGATTCCAAATTCTTGACTTTTCTTTAAAAATCTGGGCAATGCTAGGCAGGTCCCAGAGTGGCAACACCTTCCTGGAGCTGGTAGGCAGAGGGCCAGGCACTCTCCGGCTCACCCCCATCTGGCCAGATCTCAGCCTCTGGGAACACTTGGGGTTGTACCCATGGCTGTGTACAAAGAGCACACTTAAGAGTCTTAAGAGCAGGTGTTTTTCCCATGAACCCCTGGGTGTCCACGAGGCCCTTCCCAGGTAGGAGGTGGGACTAGGTTACACAAGGGAAGTTGGGGCAATTCGGGACTTCACAGTGATACCCAAAAGACCACACACACGCCAGGCTCCCCACTTCAGCTGCAGTGAAGGTGCTCCAGGACGCTCCCACAGACGCGGTCCCTGTGAAGGGCAGCGAGGCTTCTAAGGCTCCACCAGCCCCAGACTTTCCAGCCTGGGAATAGTTGGGCTTCATCACAGAACAGCAGGAGACAGACCAGCAATCCTTAAAACCAAAACTCTCTCACCCCAGTCCACCCCAAACATCCTGCCCCCGCCTCAGCAAAGAGCCCTTGTGAATTCCAGCACTGTTTATTGGGCACACAACATAGGGGAGGGCGGCATCCTGCTGCCCCATATCCACAGTAACCAAAGGAAGGCATGTGCGCTTGCCAAGAGGCGTTGTCCCAGATGTGAATTAGTAAGCTAAATTCAAAAGTAGGATTGGCATCTCCAGAGAATAAGATAAAAAAATTTTCTATCAAAGTTGTGATTAAAAAAATACAAAAGTTGAACCCACAGGCATAGAGAAAAATAGCAATCCTGAGAGGTGCCCTGAAATGTCAGCCCGAACCTCTCTAAATCCGGTAAGCAGGCAGACCTGGGGGGGCCACACCCCTCAGGAGAGTAGTGTTGAATGGGGAGCCCGCCCCGCTTCTATCCAGGCAAACCTTCATCATGCCCCTGGCAGTGTGTGTGTCCTGTCCTCCGTTGGGCAACACGGGGGAAAAGCATGGGGCACAGCCACTGCGGAGGTGACAAGAGTGCGGGGCCAGGGCAAAGCAGGAAAGGCCAGCCCACCTGGCATTTCCCAGCTTTGGCAGCTCCCAGGAAGTGGTGTTCCCCCTCTCCCAGCCACTGCTGTGGCCGAGCTGCAGGGGCTGGGGACTGAGCCTGTGGCCACTGCAGACTGATTGCCACTCAGCTCCAGGCCCTTGTTTCCAGTCCTCAGTGTCCAAGGGAGAGAGCTGCTCCCAGAGCCTCGGGCTGCAGGTGGGCGAGGGGAAGGAAGGCTGGGTCAGGCCTCTAGGGTCAGTGGTTGCCCTTCTGAGCTGGGGCCCAGCACTCGGCAGAAGCCAGGATAAGGAGCAGACAGTGTGGAAGTGGTGTCACTGTACAAATAGGCAGGCAGGCACGAGTCACGGACCATGGCGGGCTGCTAGGACAGCATGGACTGCTGCACGGCCTTCTGCAGCGACTGCCGCGTCACCAGCAGGCGCACCACCTCCTCCGAGCGCTTGGTGAGCCGCTTCCGGGCCTGGTCGTGTGTGACCATGGTCATGTCCCAGCCGTTCACCTGGCCCAAGGAGAAAACACAGCCCACCTTAGCTCCCTGCCTTCAGATCTGGAAGCAGAGGGCTTTGGGAAGCCTGGATCACCCAAGCTGATGACCCAGGCTGTTCGTGCTGAGGGGCACCAAGTACCATAGCTGAGACACACAGAGGAGGAAGAAAGCCAGCTGCCTCTGGGGGCAGTACCAACATGGGTGAGTCTCTCCCAGCTGGGAGGCAGGGGCACCCCCACCACCACCACCAAGTGCTTCAGACCTTCTGGCCCAAACCCTGTTCTCCTGTGAGGCACTCATTACCTGCATGATCTTGTCACCAATCTGCAGCCCAGCAATTTCAGCAGGGCCTCCTTCAGACACCCGTGTGACGTAAATGCCCTGGAAAGAAGCAGCCCAGGTCAGGCCCTGTGCTCACTGGACTGGTCCCTTATCTACAGAACAGAACTTAGCATGGTGCAGTCCCAGCTGTTGCCCTGGCCCTGGGCTCTCCCCAGTGCACATGGCCGGTACAGGCTATGCCCAGACAGCCGGGGAAGGTGTGGCTGCCCCACGGATGCACCAGCTCCTGCTGGTAGCCTCCTCCTGGCCTCTGAGCAGGTCTTACTAGGGCTGGGAGGCCCGCTCCTAACCCCCACCCCTACTTATTCCCACCAGATCATTTCTTGGGCCTTCTTAGCACCGTTTGAGAAAGATGATGCCAGCGTCTTCCATGAAGGCCAAGGAAGCAGAGACCCACCATCTCAGGCCTCTGTGCCCCATGAAGAGGTTCCAGGACCCTAGTACCCCTCACCTTGTCTGTCTTGTCTTCCGAGAAGGGATTCTGGGATGGATCCTGGTCAATTCCACCTCCAATGCTGAAGCCCAGGATTAAGTTCTCACCTTGACGCAGCTTGTGAATTTCAACTCTTTGCTGGCAAAGAAAAAAGCAAGTTGGGGGAAGGTGGGTGGGTAGAAAATGAATCTGGTCTGTGTCCCCAGCAGCAGCCTCAGGCTGCTGGGCCAGCTCAGAGCCATGCCAAGGGGGTGGGGCCCAGGCCCTCTGCAGGAATCCAGCTTGTCACCAGCCTGGCAAGCTGGGGCGCTGGAACTCAGAACTTGGCCACACTGACCTACCCACACAGCCCTCTGTCTTCAGCCTCTCCCCCCTTACCCTTTTAGTCTCGAGCACTGGGCCTTAGTCAACATGTGCTCTAACCCCCTCCTGGCCCAAGAGCCAGGGTGCTATGACTTCGGAGATGAGAGGCCCATCTCCCAGGGGAGTGTCCACAGAGCAGCACGGATCAGGCCTACAAAGAGGCAGGCACCTTGCTGGAGTAGCTCACATTGCTGAACCAACCAGCCCCATCAAGGAAGGGCAAGACAGGAAATGCTCAGGAAAAGCCAAAATCAAACTTAACAGAAAAGAGATGGAGGGTTTGCTGGCCAAGGGAACAACAACAAAGGCTTGGCTGAGCGTGGTGGCTCACACTTGTAATCTAGCACTCTTGGAGGCAGAGGATCACTTGAGCTCAGGAGTTGGGAGACCAGCCTGAGCAAGAGTAAGACCCCATCTCTACTAAAAATAGAAAAATTAGCTCAGACATCGTGGTATGTGCCTGTAGTTCCAGTTACTTGGGAGGCTGAGGCAGGAGGATCGCTTGAGCCCAGGAGTTTGAGGTTGTAGTGAACTATGATGACGCCACTATGCTCTACCTGGGGTGACAGAGCGAGACTCTGTCTCAAAAAAAACAGAGCAGAGGCTTGAAGGTGCTTGGATACGTGTTTGTGAGACCAGAGTGTACAGTGCAATGCAGGATGCAGAACTGGGAGGTGAAATGAGACAAAGTGTGAGGATGGGGCCAGATCAAGAAGGCTGTGGGATGCAGGCCCATAAGACTGGTCCTAGAAGGGGATCTGGGGGGCTTGGGGGGATCCTCCTTAAGCCCCAGGCCCTGTTCTTGTTCAGCACAGAAGACAGAGGAGTGTTTTAGGGCTCCCCCACCATGCTGTGGAGCTATGGACCCCAACTGTGCCTGGCTCCTTTCAAAGCCCTCAGCAAGCAACCACCAGTCACCAGATGCTAGAAGCCAGAACAGATCACTCCGAAAGTTGAGGGTTTTAACAGGATTAAGGGGGAAAAAAGGGTGACTTGATCTAGACCTAAGAAGGCTTCAGAAAGGAGAGGTCCTTTGCACCAGGCCTTGAGAGGCTGATGAATAATATGGCCACCTGACCTAGATGCTGAACCCACTGGAGCTCTCAGGAGTTGAGGAGTAGGGCAGGGTATGGTCAGGTTTGATGCTAGAAACACCACTCAGGTAGTAGTAGTCAGTAGGGGAACTGACATCTCACAAAGGTGGGATGTGGAGGTCAGCAGATGTGAGCTACTTAGAAATTCCAATCAACAGACTTGGGGACTGCTCTTGGAAGAGAGGAGCCAAGAGGAGCACCTGGCCTGGCTGAACACAAGTATCTCTCAGATGGGACCCCAGGAGGAGGAGGCACAGGCTAAGCTGGAGTGCAAGGAGCCACACAGGCAGGTGTCCAGATGGATCTATGGAGCCAGAGTTCAGAGGAGAGGCCAAAATGGTTCTTAACTACATGGAAGAGGGCAGACTGTGGAGGAAGCCTTCCCCACCCCATCCCAATCCAAAACACAAGGGGGTGAAGCCAGACCCTACATATTCCTGGTATTAGAGGAATTGGGGGGGGGGGAGTCATGGTCCCACAGCTTTGAGGAAGGCCCTGGGACCAGCCATGTCATGAGGATGGAGGAGCAGGAAACATGCTCCTTGAGACCCACTGCAGCTGGGTCTTCATGCCCAAAAGCGTGAGCTCCTCCAGGCCTGCTTTACCTTCAGCACACACCTGTGCACCCACCCCCAAAGCTGTAAGACAAGGCCCTGTCCCTGACTTGCTAGGTGAGGTCAGGCAGCAAGGTGGCTCTCTGGCTCTTCACCCATACCCTCTTTTATCCGGCTACGGAGCAAACCTGGCCCCTCTCTGGGGGCAGCTAGGGATCTAGAAAAGTCAGGCTGACACTTAGGACAGCTGTCAGCTGATCCAGTAATGTTTCTTCCTAGCCTGGGGCCTAAGCTGCTGCTCTAAGCTCACCCTCACGTGTCACCTTTATCAGTGGCTTCTGTGCCTCCACCCACCTGCAGCACTCCAGCACACCCATTTATGAAACCACAGCCAGTCACTATGGTTCCAGGGCTGGGACTTTCACTTGACCCTTAGACTGCCTGACAGGCATTTTTTTCCCCAGGGCAGGAGACCTGTATGTTTCCTGAAGGCTTCCTATAATTGGCTGGACATGACCAGAATTATCTTGGTGACTGTTCCCTGCCTCTTCCATGGGGTTGGCCTCCAGGCTCCATCCAGCTGTGACACTGGCATCTGGGTCTAATGCCCCAGCCTCCCTTTCTCCCTTTCCCTGTTCTAACCAAGGGGATGGCCAGGGCCCTAGGTGGACCCCAAAGGCTTCAAGTGCCAAGTGGGGGACCCGGACTTTGCCTCGAGGGCGGGGGATCCAGGAAAAGTTCGGAGAGGGATCGAGCCCGTTGTTCCAGCATTCGCTCTGGGCTGGGCGGCGAGCAGGTCCCAGGAGCAAGGCTGGACGGGAGGGGGAAGGGGCTGCTGTGGCAGGCTCGGGCCAGCCCCACCCCCCAGATCTCCCTCCTCTGGGCGGCGGCGCCGGCAGGAGCGGAGGAAGCATTTCCTCATTCCAGAGGCTGCGACTCATGGACGTCGGGGCCGGCGCCCGCCCCCCGCGGCTGCCCAGCTGGGGACACGGAGGCCCGGGAAAGGGGGCGCTTTCCCAGACGGGCCTTCCTCCTTCGTCCTCCCCGCCCCGGGCGGCTGACAGGCGTCCACTCCCGCGGCGGCACCGCGCGGGGTCTGGCCTCCGTCCAGGGTCTCGGGAGGCTCTGGGGTCCCCGCCATCCTTACGTGCCTGGGGGAGAACGCAGCCCTGCTCCGACAGAGCGGGGGCCGAGCCCGGCCGCCGGAGCGCAGGACCCCGGGTTCGACGCTTTGTCGACCTGTCCGGGGTGTCAGTTTGCCGCTCTGCGAAGTGGGGCAAGCCGAGCCAAGGAGGAGAGGAGCCCGCGCGAGCGCACTCACCACCACGGCAGTGACCGGCTGGCCTGGGATGTAGGACATCTCGACCCCAATCTGGCAACCGAGTACCCGCTCAGGCAAGCCGGCAGCGAGAGTCCCCGCGGCCGCGCCCTCTCTGGTTAACAAAGGCAGCAGGCGCGGCCCGTCCCCTCATGAATAGTTAACGAACCTCCAGCCAATCAGCGGCCGGAGCGCTGTTCTGCTTTCGGAAGTCCCGGTGCGTGCGTAGAAAAGCGGGCCGAGAGCGGAGCGTGCCCACGGCGCAGGCGCGAGGGGGCGGGACGGGATCTGGCGCACGCGCAGGCTGGGCCCTCCCGGCAGCCTTCAGCGCAAGATGGCGCCGCGGGAACCTGTCCCTGCCAGTCTGAGGGAACTCTAAGTGACAGTGTCCGCCGCCGTGTTCCAGGTAACTGGGCAAGCCTGGCCGGGGAGTGCAGACGTGCTGCCGCCCCTCGGCCGGCCTGAGCGCCCCCCGCCTTCCAAGTGTCTTTGGAAGGAAGGAGCGAGACCCAGGAGTGGTGCCAGGAAGCTCCAGGGGGAGGGGGCGGCGTGAGCCCAACTCGCCAAGCTCCGGGCGCCACTTGTAACTTGGTTTTCTCCGCAGCTCCGCGAGAAAGCTAGAGGCTGAGCCCCGGCGGGTGCGATGGCCGCGGTGGTGGCCAAGCGGGAAGGGCCGCCGTTCATCAGTGAGGCAGCTGTGCGGGGCAACGCCGCCGTCCTGGATTACTGCCGGACCTCAGTGTCAGCGCTGTCGGGGGCCACGGCCGGCATCCTCGGCCTCACCGGCCTCTACGGCTTCATCTTCTACCTGCTTGCCTCCATTCTGCTCTCCCTGCTCCTAATTCTCAAGGCAGGAAGGAGGTGGAACAAATATTTTAAATCACGAAGACCTCTCTTTACAGGAGGCCTCATCGGAGGCCTCTTCACCTACGTCCTGTTCTGGACATTCCTCTATGGCATGGTGCACGTCTACTGAAATGGGGGCAGGGGTGACTTTTTTAAAACAACAGATTGGGAGGACTGTTGCCAGATATTAACACCGAGTAGACTTACCTAGTTTTTAAATTGTTGAATATGCTGCCTGTTCTGTAACGTTATAAATAATTTATATCTGAAGACGGAGAGCCTGTATCTTCAGATTAAATGAAGCGTGAGACACTTTGTGCAGTTCTTTCCTACCTTAAACGTATAGTCTGCCGTTCATGCAAAATCGCCAAGATTAGACTCCTGGAGAGCAGGGACTAGGCCATAGTCTTGTTATATCTTTGCATTTATAGGCCATGCAGAAAGGGACTAGGAGAGAACTTATTGTTAGCATTCTAAGAACTAATAATTGTTAATATATATTATGAAGAGCTCCCTATATGCCAGGCATTGTGCCTTGTAGTTTTTATACCCAGTATCTAATTTAATTCTAGCAATAACTTTATGGAGTAAATGTTTTTAACTCCATATTGGCAAGTAAGCTGATGTATCAGAGAGGTTAAATACCTCTGCCAGAGGAGGCACAGCTAGGAAGAGACAGAGCCAGGATTGAAATACAGGTCTCTTAATTGGCTCTTGCTGTATTGGCTGTGTGCAGCATTCCCACCCACTAACCACTACTTCCAGGTATGAATGGTGTCATTTCACCTCATCAAAGCTAGCAGTCCTTTCCATTAAAAAATGTATTCAAGCTATTTTTTTAGACTATGTTTAGAGAAGATTAAACAGATTGGCCAATTAAGCTAAACTCTGGGCTCATTTAGGGCGTAAGCACTTCTGTGTGTATGCCAATCGATCCTTTCTTGTTGGGAGTGTTACCACACATGTTTGAGAAATACTGCATTGGAGTTGTAGTAATGAACATAGGGCTCATGCAATTTGTAGTCTAAACGGGTAGACTAGCATTACCTAATTTCACAAATGTTTAAATTATGGTAGGTGCTATGAAGAGAGTACATAGGAACCACAAACATGTACTAACGTTGGTTGGAGGGAGTCAAGGAAGGCTTCTATGAGGAAATAACATATCTGAGGCTGGAAGGATGAATGAATAACTCAGCCAAGTAAGGTGTAGGGGCGGGGTTACTTGCAGGAAAAAGCCTGTGTGAAGGCAGATGGGCAGGAAGGAATGTGGCCTAGATCTGGAAAGTGAGAGAAGAGGCCACAAAATACTATTATTTGGACCAGATCATGGACAGACAGTGGGGAGTTTGGCCTTGATCCTAAGAGCAACTGGGGGAAGCCTTTGGAAGTTTCTAGTCAGAAGTGATGTGATCAGATTTGGATTTTTTTAAAAAAGAATCAAATGGTAAGGGGATCTGAGAGCTTGTGTCCAAGTCCCCTTTTCTTTTACAGACCTTAGGTAGCCTATGGCCAATAGTAGAGATGGAACTGGGACTTAGACCTCCTGAATTCCATTTTGGGTTCAGGACCACATGCATGCACACACGGCCAAGCAGCAGCCGAAGCCACAGCTTTGCCTCCATCTCCCACCTGATGAGCCGTCTCTGCTCACCACCAAAGATCCTCATGTTCATGGTTTGCACACCCCAGTTCTCTCTCAAGGCCTTCCCTGAGTGGGAAGGAAGGGTTCATGCCTGATGCAGAAAGCAGTGGTTGAAGGGGTGGGGGGTTCCTACTGCTGGAAGAGAAGGGAAAAGGAAGAGGGATAAGTGCGCTGATTTACTTAACCATTTCCCTCTTGTTGAGCAGTAAGTTTGTTTGAGATGTTCATTATTATAAAAAAATACTGCAATGAATGTCTTCATGTTTATGTCATTTTGAGAGAATTTAATAAGCTCCTAGGGCAGAAGGATAAAAATTTGATTCCAAGTGCTTTCCAAGCTTTATCAGATTATACTTGTTGAATGAAAAGTACCAGTTTTATCAGTGCCTTCCTAGTCTTTAATTTTATTTTAATGTTTGCTCATCTAAAGAGTTTCCATGCTTTCACTTGAATTTCTTTGCAAGATAACAAGGAACATAATATATTGCTTGCTAATTGTTTCTTGTGTCTGCCTCTTTTGGTCTCGCCTTCTCTTTACATTTTCCCCTAAAACACAGGGTAACTGGAAGACCTGAAGGGGAAAAAATCAGGACACATATGAAATTGACACCTTTTATTGTTTTATAACCAAAGAAAAGTGCCAGAGAACACATACATTGGGCAGGTCCCAGAAAGTGCCATCTTCCCCCTGTTTAATTCTGTGTACTGGCCTAAGGGGACACAGGTGGCAGAAAGGTGCTGAGTTCTTCGATCCACAGGGAAGTATGCTCTGAGGAAAGTTGCATCATTGGAGGGAGGAGGTGGACTGGAACTGAGTGGAGTCCTTTTAAAGACATTTAAGATGCCATTCCAAGTGGGGTGATTTAGGAACTCTACGAGGCACTGCAGTCCTTAGCCAAGGTGCTCAAGGACATCTAGAGGAAGTCAAGTTCCCCGTTTACGACTGGTTCCCTAGTGGGGCAACCAGCCACTGAGAAAGGAAGAACTGATGGGGGGCAGGGCAAAAAGACAGCCGTGACTGGTCAATCCTGATGATACCAGCATCAGGAGTTGGGGGTACTTGCTCTTTCATGGCTGGTCCATGTGATGTCACATTAATAGCACCCAATGTACAAATTTCCCGTTCCCAGCATCATGGTACTCCCAAAGGCATGAGATAGCTCAGTACTAGGTGGCTGTGTACTAGGTGGCCTAGTACTAGGCTAGGGCCTGAGCATAGTGTAGACGATTCATGTGATCCCGTACTATCAGGACAGGAGTTGTGAGAGGCTGGCACTCACCTTTGCAATGAGCAACCAGTGCCCAGAGCGAAAGGGGCTTTCCCAAGTTTGAAAGGAGCTCAAGGTCCTGCTTCACTTCTCCCCATTTAAAAGCCAGTTTCTATAAGATTGATGAGCCTCCCACTCTTGCACCGAGACAATGTAGAAGAAAGGTGGGGGGTGGGGGGCTGGCAGAAAGCAAGGAAACCTTGGCAGCGTGTGCAACAGTGTCCAGAAGCTGTAATGGATCACCGGCTGTTCTGGGCATGGGACCCCTGACGTGCAGTGGGGAGGCCACCTGGAAGGTTTTGCTGGCCTTGAAGAAACAATTAGGTTGAATAAGTACTCTAAGGAAGTAAAGTTTAATGGGGCAACCCTTACAATTAAAGTCAACTTGATTTAAAAAAAAAAAAAAAGCCTCACAAAACCCACTCCTGTCTGCTGACTTCATCCACTTCCTCGGTTGCATCTTCCCATGTCAAAGCATCTCTAACATGTGGTTTCTTCACCTGGAGTGCTGCTCCCTGTCACCTAGTTAGGCTGCCATAACCTTTCCAGTTTCCAACACGTACATCATTTCCTTGGGGAAACCTCTGACTACCTGGTTGAAGTCTCAAACACCCTATCCAGTGATGACTGGTGTGATCACTTGGTTAAGATTCAATTCCCCCCAGACTGGAAGCACACAAGGTAGGAACCGTAGCGTCACTCTCCACTGTATCACTAGCGTTTAGCCCAACACCTGACACATCATAGGTACTCAATAAATATTTACTGACTGAATAATTGTAGGAAGACATTTCCATTCCAATATAAAACAAATAGTACAATTGTCCCCAGATTATATGGCTGCTGCCAAGCCATTTCAAAATCAGGTTTAAAAAGTCAGGCCAATCCCTAAGCAGCCATGACCCCTGCCTTTTTTGCTTCCTCCAAAACATAAATGTAACATGCTAGATTATAAATCCAAGGGTTTGCTTTAGTGAGGAAGTGAAACACTTCAGTGGATCACCCGGATTTTTCACTTTCTATTCAGAGAGCAGGTTGGACTTGTTGAGGGGTTCCCAGACAACTGGAAGTGAGGGAGCCACTCGCTCCAGAAGGCCTCCTGTCCTGGGGTCCATGGCCCTCTGCCCCACCGGGGCCTCATCAGAGAGCTGCCAGGCCCCTCTGGCAACCCTCGCCAAAGGCCTCAGTGGAAGGATGCTCACTGCCCTCTTCTGTGTGCAGAGAGGCCCTTCCAAAGAGGACTCCCAGGGTGTGTCCAGGGAGCGGGGACTGGTTGGGTCAGAGCAGCACTGGAGGACTTTTCTGCCGGGCAGTTCATCACAACAGTGAATGGTGAGCTCTAGGTTTCTCGCCTCGGGTCTACATGGGGGTGACCCAGACACAGTGGCATAAGGAGAAGAGTGCTAGCGGGCTCCCCACGCCCAGTACCGAAGTGTATTACATGTCTGTTTTGACAGAGGAGACTCTGTCTTACGTGCAGGCATCAGAAAAAGGTCATTTCCTGAGTGAGTGTGCGAGTAACCCAGTGGATTCTCGGGGAAAACAAGGGAGCCTCTTGGAATTGCTAACACTGGTTGCCTCCTGAGAACAAGGCTGAGATGGTCACTTTTCACTGTCTATTCTTTTGCACCTTTTAAATCACATAAGTATTACCTAATCAAAAAATTTTAAGTAAATGGAGCATAATGTTGCTTTCAGGGTGGGGGAGGACTCCTCTTGACCTCCAGGTAGCACGTGTGTAAGTCTGACCTAGATATTGGCCCCACCCACCAGAGCTGGCTTTTTTCCCCTCAGAACCAGGGCTTCTCCAACGTTACCGTGCACGCAAATCACCTCGGAAGCTTGTGCAAACGGAGGTTCTGGTTTAGTAGGACGAGGGAGGGGCCGAGACTCTGCGTTTCTGACAGATTCCCGAGTGACACATGCCATGCTGCTGGCCCGTGGACCCCACTTGGAATAGTGAGGCTCTGTAGCCACCGAGGGAGGGAGCAACTGCCAGTTCTGCGGGGTGGGGTTGGCACGGGTGGGAGGTGAGGGTCCCCAACAACTGTTTGTATCTGCTGCTCAAGCCCCATCTCTAGAACTTCAGACCAGGCCTCTGAGGAGAGAAGCCGGGAGCCCAGAGGGGACATCTCGCCACACAACAGCAAGAGACAAACCACACAGGCAAATGCATCGCCCACGTGGGCAAGTGGATATTCCTAGAGCTTCCCAGGACGGGGGCAGTCAGAATGGAGACCGAGCAGAGGCCACCCTGCCTCCCTTTCCCCCTCTTACCTAGAAGCCCTTGGAGTTGGTCTCTCCCCTAAGAGCCAGCTGCCTTTCCTGGTTGCCTCCTTGGCCTCCTTTAAATTTTATCCCTGGAGCCAGGGCCAAGTGTCCCCTTGGATGTGGTCCAAGGGCTTTCTCTGAGCAGCCATCATTTACTACAGGGATCTGGGAAACGCAGCTAGGGGCAGGCCAGAGTGCTGGGCCTGGCTGCGATGTCTCGGTTGGCCTTGGAGGAGTCACACATGTGCCCCCTGCCCTGAGGGCAGGTCAGCATCTCACTGCAGCGTCTCTGGGCTAGGGCGCAGCACGCAGCATGCATCTACAAATGTTTACTGCCCGTATGAATGAATGAGTGTCCAACCAGGTTCTCAGAGATGACTGAAACACTCTCGTTCCACTCAGGCCCTGGCCTGCCCCCTTCCCTGGATGCCTGCTCCAGGGCCTCCTCTTCTCCATCTGAGCCACTCTGGCCATTGGGTGGCTCCCCTCCTCACGTGACAAAAAGCTTGTGGCACGATCCCAAAGTGCAGGTGAGATGGCTGTGCCTGGAAGCCCCTGTCTCACGCAGGCACAAAGACACCTCTTCCCAGTTCAGAGCTGTGGGTGGTTCAGGCCCCGGCGTCGCCACTGAGTCTGTTCTCAGCCAGCAGCTCTGGCTACGTCTCCACTGTCTGCAGGGTCTGCGGCTGCTCCACGTTCACCAGGTGGCCAGGCCTGCGGGGGGCGGGAGGGGCGCACACAGAGGGCAGAGAGGACTGTCGGAAGCCAGTCAGAGAGAGGGGCCACCTGTCAGGGTTCCTGCTGCAGCCCAGATACATGGAGATGTTCGGGCAGAGGCCTCCGGAGCCACCCAGCAATGAGCAACAGCAACTGCATGGCAGCCGGAGTCTAGGCCAGAGCGGACAGAACCTCCCGCAGCAGCAGGCAAGGCTAAGCCAAGACAAGCAAGGCGGCGGCGCTTCCTGCTTGCAGGGCATGGAGTTCAGGTGAGTGCCCGGGAAGGGACAGTAGTTCAGGAAGCACCAGAGGGCTTCTGGGCTCTGGGCCTGCCCTATCCGGATCCCCCAGCCTCTCTGTCTCTCCTCAGTCCTTCCCAGACCCGCCTCCCAGCTGGAGGCTGCCAATACCTGAGTCAGCAAGCAATGAAAGCCCAGCCGGAGGAAAGGCCGCCCAGGCCGGTGAACAGCCTGGGACATGGTTTACGAGAGGAGAGTCACAGAACGCTAGCCTGACCGAGCGGATGGGGGCCCTGTGTCCAGCCCCCACTGGGACGGGGAAAAGAAGGACAATAAGGTCTGGACAACAAGGTCTGGAAAGGGCGGGGCACCTGCTCAAAGGCACGCACCGAGGCAGACGCCGAGCAGGCCTGAAGCAGGCCTCCCGACTCAGCCAGGGCTCACGCTTGCAGAAAAGGCCAGGCTGCCCTGGCCACCTGGCAGCACAGCCACCACCCTCCTGAGGCTGGGGCACACATAGAAGAGGGACTTAGGGGACTGATCTGATGGGAGGTGGGAGAGGGGGACTTGATAAGGCAGAAGAACTCATTGGAGAAGAACTGGATTCTAGAGACACACAGCCTGGGTTCAATCCCCGTTCTGCCATTTATGAGCTGTGTGACTCGAGCAAGTTCCTTACCCTTGCTGTGCCTCATACTCCTCATCAGTAAAGTAGGTCCTATCAGCGCCCACCTCATCAAGTCGCTTAAGTGGGCTGAGAGGCGAGCCGGCAGGGACTAAGCACCCTGCATGTGAGAGGAGCAGTTACCTGGACATGGGACAGCACAGCAAGTGCACTCGGTTTAGATGGTTATCCCGGGGCGTGGGAGCTGATGGGGGACAAGCACCACCAGACCCCCTCCCCAGAGAGGCTCAGACAGGCCCTTGTGGGTCCTGGACGTCCTGCCTGTGGTCAGGTCACCCCGGTGCAGAACGGCCCACTGGGGCTGCGGGGCGTGAGGTGCCAGAGCAGGGACCCCTCCCTGCAGCACCCCCTACCTGCTGGGCTCCAGGCGCTGCGGGCTCACGTAGCTGTTCCCCTTCAGGTCGAGGCTTCCGTGCTGTGCCTTGGGCTGCTCCGGCTGCTCCTGAAGCCCTGACTCTGAGACAGGCTGCTCTGACAGCCCCAGCCCCGGTTCCTCCTCCTCTTCCTCCTCCTCCTCCTCCTCGGCCTCCAGGACATTGTCTGGAGGACACGATCTGTTAACAGGACATCATCTGTTAACCTGGGACGGCCCTGCAGGGCGCCACCGTGGTTCCTCCAACAGCCAAGTCAGGGCTGGGGGCCCCTGTAGCCCAGGGCTGGGACCCAGGCTTGGCTGGGTTCATTAAGGCGAATGACACAGGCAGGTCCTGCACCCGCTGCCCCAGGCTGGGGTGGGCTAAAGGAGTGCCGAATTCCCCAGTCTCTCTCTCTTTTTTTTTTTTTAATTTTCCCCATTTCAATAAGCTAATCTACCAGTCCCCCACTCTGACCCCATTCCTCCAGAAAGCCAGAGCCCCTTCCTTCCTGCCCACCTACGGACATCCGGGCTCCCCACTCATACTGTGCTCTGCGGCTCTGAACACACGCGCACACCCAAGAGACCCTGCAAAGAGGCCTCTGTAGTGGGAAAATAAATCTGTTTTTCCTCCCTTTACCACCCAGCTTCCCTCAACCCCAGCCCACCAGGATCCCTACGTCCAAGGACCCTGAAGCAGACTGCAGGGGGCACCACACGTCAGCCACCTCTCGTGCCTTCCAGAGAAACCGAGGCCCAAGAAGGCCGGGGACTTGTCCACAACCACACTCGGTGGGAGGATGACAGAGCCTGTGTGTGGGTCTCCTGCCCCACAGCCCAAGTGGCCTCTCCTTCCACCGGCTGCTCTAAGGCTCAGTCCAGTTCTGTAGAGCGTGTACCAGAACATTCCACCTCCCGGCCCTTCAGCCCCTGCCACACACTCCAAATGCGAAATCAAATCAGGGTTAAAGGGTCTCAGCTCAGAGGTGGGGGGGAGTCCCCCTCGGATGGCTGGGGAGGAAGCGTGACTGACCTCACTTCCTCGTACTTCTTGTCTCGGTAAAACCCACTCTTTTTGATTAAGTAGATGAGTACCAGGTCGCAGAAGAAAGCACCCTGCAAAAGAGTTGGGGTCCCTGACTCAGAATCCTAGACTTCGGGGGAGCACCAGCCGCCCTCCGCACTTCACTTCCATCCTGCAAAAGCCTGTGAGGGGGGCGTCACCATCCCCACCTAATAGGTGAGGGAACCGGGCTCAGAAAGGGGCACCTTGTTCGAGCCCACGAAGCTGGGCCCTGGTAGGGCCAAGGCTAGCCTGGAGCGCCACCGAGCCCAGCGCCTGCCCCGGCCCATCCTCGTTCCTGAGCACCCGCCACGTGCCCGGGCCGGAACTGGGGTGCAGGCAGGACACGGACAAGAGAGACAGACCCCTGGGGACCCTCCCTCTGGCGCAGGAGACAGCACGTAAATTATGACCCAGTGACGCGTGCTGTGATGGGGAGGGGAGCTGGAGCAGAGAGGAGACAGGACTTCGCTCAGCCTAGGGAGGGACACCTGGGCTGAGGCTTGAGGGCTGATCAGGAGTTTATTATACAAGGCACAGAAAGCCCGGGGGAGGAGCGAGCTTGTCATGCCTGGGAAATGCACGGGGCTTGTGGGGGAAGAGCGAGAGACCCTTCTAGAGAGGTGGCTGGAGACCAGCCTGGAAAGCGCCTTAGAAAGCTTCCGAGGGAGGCGTTGGTCCTACAGGTGGGAGGCAGGCACGACAGTGAGAATTGCGGCGTTGCAGAAAGATCCCCCTGGTGGCCAGTGTGGGATGGATCTGAGGGCTCTAAACCCAACCAGCAAGGACAGTACCGCAGCCGTCAAGGGAAGACAGTGAGGCCTGAGCCACCCAGCTGGGACCGGCTCGCACCTGAACGCTTGCCCCTCGGTCCGGGGCGGTTGTACAAATGCCCTCCTCCTCCGCCAGAGGGTGATGCCACCCACATCCCAGGGGTGGGATGGGGGTGGGGGGACCCTGAACCACTGAGGAGGAGGGTGGAGGTGGGGAGGGGGTGATGGGCGGGCCACCCTGGTCCTCTGACCTGGGCGCTGCACACCTCATTTCTCTACATGCCAAAAGTGTTGTCAATTTCTCGTTCCACAGAGAACAGCCCCCACCCCAGCCTCCACCACCCTCTTCCCTGCACCATTACCTTCCTCCAACAGGCCTGGCCCTCATGGTCAGTGTTCTGATTTTATGCACGTCACAAGCCAATGATGCCTGCAGGCTGGCCCCTCTCTAAGAAGTTACATATGCAAACGTCCAGGGTCCCTGACAATGTCTGTAGTTAGGAGGAAGCCGTCTGGGGCTCACTTTTACCGACCACCTCTCAGGAGCATGGCCTCCGAGTCCTGTGACAGGACACAGTTTTCCCGGCCTCATAAAAAGCCAATCCTCCGCCTGTAATCCTAGCACTCTGGGAGGCCAAGGGGGGTGGATTGCTCGAGGTGAGGAGTTCAAAACCAGCCTGAGCAAGAGTGAGACCCCGTCTTTACTATAAATAGAAGGAAATTAATTGGCCAACTAATATATATAGAAAAAATTAGTCAGGCATGGTGGCGCATGCCTGTAGTCCCTGTAGTCCCCCACTTGGGAGGCTGAGGCAGGAGGATCACCTGAGCCCAGGAGTTTGAGGTTGCTGTGAGCCAGGCTGATGCCATGGCACTCACTCTAGCCTGGGCAACAAAGCGAGACTCTGTCTCAAAAAAAAAATAGCCAATCCTGTGGCCTGGCAGAATCCTCCAGTGGGGTTGTTTGGGCTGCACAAACAGAGGAATGAGGGAAGAAGCCGCCAGAAACCTTGGAAAAGGCTTGCTGGGATGGGCGAGAGACACCCACTGAGGGCTCCCACATCTTAAAAAAACTTCCAGAAGTACAAAGGGGCCCTGCAGAGATTCAGAAGAAACCTTGCCCTGCCCTGAGCCACTACTTCCTCTTGTGTGGCCCCTGCCAGCCCAGCTGAATGGCCACCTCCAGGGAGGGGTCCCAGGGCTGTCCTCCCACCTCCCCTCCTCTCAGCCCGCTGCTTCTCCGCCAGGGTGCATTTAACTCCCCCGGAGACGTTCTCAAGGCATCGTAACCGCAGGGCAGGTGCTCCTGGCACCAGCAGGTAGAGGCCAGGGATGCTCTTAAACATCCTACAACGCACAGGACAGCCCCCTGTGCATGCTAGGGTATGGAAGAACACATCGAAGGATGTGTTTAAGACAACTGAGAATTATCTCGCCCAAAATGTCGACTGTGCTAAGGTTAGGAAACCCTGTGTGTAGCTTAATCCTGCCCTCTTCTAGCAGAAGTGGAGATGGAGACATCAGTACAGGGGCTGACCCGGGATCCCAGAGAAGTCCCAGCCCACACCTCGGCCGGGGACTGACCCAGACGCACCCGAGGCTCCAGAGCTAGGGATGGATGCCGCTCTGGCTCTGGGAAGGGAAAGCCAGGCCGTCACTGCCCCCTGGGGGCAGCTGGCAGGGCGTGACCTCGCCAGTGTCACTCTTTCTGGGGCACTGGGACCAACTCCCCCTGGGCAGTCACACCCCCGCCCCCCACGGCTGCCAGGTCGGAGCAGGAGGCAGGGAGGGAGGCAGAGGTACTCACAGCACTCATTAGCGCCAGCCCCGAGCCCACGTTGATGATGGTGGGGATGATGTTGAACTTCCCTGCCTGAAAGGCACAGATGAGGTGGGTGAGCGAGGCGGGGGCATCCGCGTGGGGGGGCCCCCAGGGCCTCTCCCAACACCCCTGCCTCAGGATGGGAGAACCGGCCCACGCACCTTGCCATTCACCATCACATCAAAGCGGATCCCGTAGGCTTTCAGCAGGGTGCGGAACTCCACCCCAGCCTGGTCCCGGTAGTACCTGGCAAACCTGGGGGAGACAGGCCCGGGGAAGCCTCAGCCGCCCGGCCTCCCCCTTTGGCAGCACAGACTTGGCTGCTTTGGGAACGTATAAGCACTCCCAGGACCCTGCACACCCTCCCACCGAGCCAAGTGCAGAGACTCAGCCAGAGCTTTGGAATCCCTGTCCCACATCCCCCCAGGGGCAAGGGCTTTCCCACTGCACTCTGGGTCAACCCCTGGCCACCAAGGCACTGCTGGAACTGACCCAGCAGAGGAGCCAAGCCTTGGCTTTGTGGCAAGAGCAGGGCAAGAGGACACACTCCTCTCCGAGATGCTCGGATCCACACCTCTCCTCGGCCGCGCTCCCTGCACCTCCCGCTCTGACACCCACCCGCAGGAAGGGGTGTCATAGTGCTGGCACCCAGGGACGGTCGTGACATGTGGTCAGGGGCACAAGGCGGCAGTTACCTGAAGTTGTACCCAGAGGAGACAGACTTTGCAGGTTTGTTGTCCAGACGGCTAAAAGAATAGTGAGGGTTGCATTCAGAGGCAGCTTTATCAAGATCACAGTTCCATTCAATACGAATTCCTATCACACCACCCTTGACGAGAGAGAGACAGGGTCAGCACACAGAGCTTTCTGAAAACGGACAGAAGTCGCAGGCCAGCTCCTCACAACAGCTGGGCAAGACACGGAAGTGCTCAGGCAAGAGGTCAGCCCGGCTGGACCACCCTTCTGGAAAGTTCTAGCTCCACCCCTCAAGTGGCTGCAAAAATTGCATCGTTCCAGCCCCAGGAGAGAAGAGAATGGCCCAGAGCGAGCAGCTTTCACGACAGGCACTTCATATACAAGCCAGGATGTGCCCATGGGGGTCTTTCTGGTCCGATTCCATCCAGTGCCGCAAGGACTCAGAGCTACACAGCAGGTGCCTCGGCTGGCCCTCACGGATGCCTGTGGTCCCAGCACTGCCGCTGCCCAGCTGTGTGTCACAGCTAATTCTGAAAACCGAGAGTCCTTGAAGGCAGGTGACTTTGCAGAGCCACCCTTGGCCCCCGAGTCCCATCCACACCCCCTCCTCATTGCAGAGCCCGGGTCCAGAGCCCCCTAACCCTAGGGAGGGCTCCCTGAGCACATGCCACCCACCTTCAGGGCCAGTTCTTGGAAGCTGCTCCCCGCCCAGCGGATCACGGAGCCCAGTCGGAAGATGGGGCAGTAGTGGTTCTCAGGGCCAAAGTGACAGAATTTCAGGAAAGATTTGTCCTTGATGTCCATCACATTGCTCCTGGGTGGAGGCCATGCACAGCCAGGGAGATGAGGGTGAGCCTCTCGGATCCTGGGCCCGACCCTGGGAGTCACTGGGTCCCTCCTTACCCAACCTGAGCCCTCACCACTTCCCCAGCTGACACCCTGCTCAGCCCGGCACAGAGCCCGGGCCACGGCAGAGGAAGGGGCGCCCCGGCACCACCCAGCCGTTCACGCACAAGCAGAAGTCGCCACGCACGCTCTCACACGTGGGCGTGCACAGCACAAGGAGGGCCAGGCCTAGGCCCTCGGGGGCCCAAATCATAAAGAGACCCCACCCCCAGACCCAGTGGCCAAGCCCCTCATACTTGGAGAAGTTGAATTTGGGGAACCGAATGAAGTTCTTTATGAATATGGTGAAGTCTTCAGCCTCCTTCAGGAATGGCTCCCTGAAAACCAACCCAGAAGAACAGCCTGTCCAGGGGTCCCTGCCCTGCCCTGCCGCTCCGTGCCTCCCCCAGGCTGTGCCAGGGCTGAGGTCTCTTCCCTGGGTCCCCTGGCACCTTTGCCAAGGACAGCTAATCCGCTCCTGCTGCGGGGTCCTCAGGCCTCTCTGGGACGTGCTGGCTTCCCGCTCGCTCGAGTGAGGCTCCCGCAATGAGCCCGTCTCCGCCCTCCAGCCGGGACCCACCTAGGGACCGCCTCAAGGGCCGGAGGCTCAGCCACTCACTCTGGCTCGGACTTTGTCTCCAGTGGGCACCAGGCGAAGATCTCACAGGTGCCCCTGGCTTGGTCCCCCGCACGCAGGCAGCGGCCCGTCTTTACTCCTGCGGGGGCGGAACAGGGACAGAACAGGGACGATGCCAGGAGCCTCCCAGCTCCAAGCCCCCTTTACCCCCGCTCCAGTCCTGGCCACTCCAGGCCCTCACCATGTCCAGCTATAACAGCCTCGCCGGGGTGGCAGTCACTGTCCTCAGAGCACAGACCATCAGGAATGTCTTCTCTCTGCCAGGAGAGAAGGGGCACTTGGGTGGGGGTGCCCCCCCAGCTCAGAGTCGGGCCCACCCCAGAGGTTAGAACAGGGTTGGCCGGGGCCGCACCCCCTTTGAGAACCTGCTTCTCCCCCAAACAATGTGGGAAGGGTGCACCGTGCACACAGCCTCCCGGGCCCCCGGGACTGGACCGGGGGCGGTTCAGGGGGCTGACCTGAACTGCGGCCAGCGGCTCTCCCACCCCACCCCCTGCCCCATGCCAAACCAAACCTCAGCACAGGTCCTCTGCCGCTGGTTGGGGGTCACGATCAGGTTGGTGACCACGAAGAAAACATTCTCTCCCTGAGGAACCAGAGAGGCGCTGAGGAACCTGCTCTCTTGGGGACCCTCCTTCCCAGGGCTGCTTGGCAGGGGCTGAGGCCTCTGCCTGAGTGTTGGGGACCATGTGGCCACAAAACTGGCAGACTTCTCCCACCTGCCGGCTGAAGCATCTGCTTGCTGACCCCGCAGTCCCCAAGCAGACCCTTTGGTGGGTTTCTCCCGGGCCCACAAACCCAACTGCCCCCACCCATGGGTGGCTGTTCTGACCCCAGTCTCCGGGATCCACGCCCAGTGTGAAAGCAGCAGGGGTAGCGATGGGACTTCCCCGGCCCCAGCCGACTGTGAACAGGCTGGGGAGCTATTCCCAGGGACGGTGGCATCTAAGGGGGTTCTCTGTGCCAGGCCACCTGACTCACAATGACCCGAAAGTTCTCTGAGCCCCGTTTGGTCTCAACAGACTCAGAGATCATTGGGAACAGAGTGGTGACGCAAGGCACAAAGAGGACAGGGGTTTGGTGTGGGGAGTAGGATCTGGACAGGGTGGCTACCTGCAAGCCCTGGCAGCCGTCCTAGGCCAAGGGAGACCAGGGGTGAAGGTCCCTGGGTACCTGTGCAGCTTCCCACATGACCCACCCCGAGCCAGCCCCTGCCAGCCGGGGCCCCGGTGCTAGGTGAGGTCTCAGACCTGAGCTGGGATGACATAGTCGGCAACGTCCCAGAGCCGTGCCCCGAGCGCCGAGGTGTTAGTAAAGGCCACGCCCTTGACTTTGGTGACAACGGCACTCTGCAGGGAGGTGTCCACGTCTTGGTAACCCTTCTTTATAATGAACACCCACCTGTGGAAGGGGCCAGCAGGCAGGCATCAGCCACATTACTGCGCCCAGGGAAGTGTGCCCAGCCCGGAGCGGGTTAGGAGGCAGAGCAACTCCCAGGTGGGGCGGGGGCAGGCTCAGGGCTCCACCTAGCCCGCCACTCCTGGGCAGGGGGCACAGCTCCCAGCGCCCTCTGAAACCCGTCCTGCAAGCAGCAGAGGAGACGAGCAGCCCCAGAGGCTGGGGCTCTGAAGGACCGAAGACCGCTGCGCTCAGGAACCGAGGCCCGACGCTGGGCAAGCCTGGGCCCAAACCAGCTCAGCCGCATACTGGCCCTGGGACTCCGGGAAGCCGATTTCCCGCATGTAACACGGGGATGACTGCCTCCCTCCATGGACGGTGGGATGGTTAAAGGAAACAGTACAGAACCGGAAAACAATCATGAGCAACCTGAGACAAACCCACACTGAAGGGTAATCTACAAGACTTCAAATCCTGTATTCTTTGGCACCAAAAACACAAGCAGTTAAAAAAAAAAAAAAAAAAATAGATAAATTGACCTTCATCAAAATTAAAAACTTTTTTTTTTTTGGAGACAGAGTCTCGCTTTGTTGCCCAGGCGTAGAGTGACGTGCCTCGATCAGCATAGCTACATCCAGGACTCCTGGGCTCAAGCAATCCTCCACCGTCAGCCTCCAGAGTGCTGGACCACAGGGCATGCGCCACCCATGCCCGGCTAATTTTTTCTATATATATTAGTTGGCCAATTAATTTCTTTCTATTTATAGTAGCAGACGGGTTCTCGCTCTTGCTCAGGCTGGTTTCCAACTCCTGACCTGGAGCAATCCGCCAGCCTCGGCCTCCCAGAGTGCTAGGATTACAGGTGTGAGCTACCTCGCCTGGCCTAAAATTAAAAACTTTTGTGCACCACTACCAGCCAGGCACGGTGGTGGTTCACACCTGTAAACCTGTCTCTACTAAAAATAAGAAAAATTAGCCAGGCATGGTGTCGCATGCCTGTAGTCCCAGCTGCTTGGGAGGCTGAGGCAAGAGGATCACTTGAGCCAGGAGTTTGAGGTTGCTGTGAGCTATGATGACACCACTGCACTCTACCCAGGGCAACAAATCGAGACTCCCAAAAACAAAAAACAAAATCAAACAACACTACCAAGAAAAGTGAAAAGACAACCCACAGAATGGAAGAAAACATTTGCAAATCATTTATCTGATAAAGGTCTAGTATCCAGAAATATACAAAGAACTATTACAATTTAACAACAAAAAGACAACCTAATTTAAAAGTGGGCAAAGGATTTGAACAGACATTTTTCCAAAAAAGATATACAAGTGGTCAATAAACACATGAAAAAAGAAGCTCAATTTCTGGCGGCGCGGGGCTCACGCCTGTAATCCTAGCACTCTGGGAGGCCAAGGCGGGAGATTGCTCGAGGTCAGGAGTTCGAAACCACCCTGAGCAAGAGCGAGACCCCGTCTCTACTCTAAATAGAAAGAAATTAATTGGCCAACTAACATATACAGGAAAATTAGCGGGCATGGTGCGCATGCCTGTAGTCGCCAGCTACTTGGGAGGCTGAGGCAGAAGGATCGCGTGAGCCCAGGAGTTTGAGGTTGCTGTGAGCTAGGCTGGAGCCCACGCACTCACGTCTAGCCTGGCAACAGAACCGAGACTGTTCTCAAAAAAAAAAAAGAAGCTCAATTTCATTAGTCATTAGGGAAAGGCAAATCAAAACCACAATGAGATACCACTTCACACTCACTAGGATGGCTATAGTAATAATAATAAAAAAAAAAAACTTCAAGTAACATGTGTTGATAAGGACATGAAGAAATCAAAGCCCTCGTACATTGCTGATGGGAATGTAAAATGATGTAGCACTGAGTGAAAAACAGGTTTACACGTTCCTCAAGAGATTAGAGTTGCCATACGGACCAGAAATTCACTAAGGAGTGGAAATTCCAAAGAGTAAAACCATTGATCCACACACACACACACACCACAAACAAACACCCAATTGTACATGAACGTTCTTAGCATCATTATTCACAATAGCCAGAAAGTGGAAACAATCCGAATGTCCATCAACTGATGAATGGAAAAACAAAATGTGGTCTATCCATACAGTGGGATATTGTTCTAGCACAAAAAGGAATGAAGATCTGATACATCCTACAACATGGATGAACCTCAAAAACATTATGCTAAGTAAGAGAAGCCAGACACAAGAGGCCACGTATTGCACGATTTCCTTTATACGAAACGTCTAGAACAGGCAAATCCATAGAGACAGAAAGGAGATTTGTGATTTCCAGGGAATGGGGCTGGGGGAGAATTGTGACTGACTGGTAACAGATACAGGTTTCTTTTTGGGATGATGGAAACATTCTGGAATTAAATAGTGATGATGGTTGTACAATATTGTGAATGTAGTAAAAAGCATTGAATTGTGTGATTTTAAGTGGTTAAAATGGTGAATTACATGCTATGTGAATTTTACCTCAATTAAAAAGTGATAAAAGAAAAAAATCCAGTACTCTTCAAAACACGTCAATGTCATGAAATAAAAAGATTCAGGAGCAATTCTTGATTAAAGGGGACTAAAAGGCCAAGAATGCAAGGCATGCTTTCAGATTTTCTTTTGCTATAAAGGTAATGATTTTGACAATTTACAAAAAAATCTGTAGGTTAGATACTATTATAATGTTAATTTCCTAATTTCTTACTGGTACTTGGTTGTAAACAAGAGAATTCCTGCTCTCCCCATGATACGAAGACACAACAAGCAGGAAGCCACCTTCAAGCCAAGAAGAGAGCCCTCATCAAAACTGGACCACACTGGTACCCTGTTCTCAGACTCCCAGCATCCAGAACTGTGAGAAATAAATTTCTCTTGTTTAAGCCAAAAAAAAGAAAGAATGAGAGAGAATTCCTTGTTTTCAAGAAATACACATCGAAGCATTTAGGAGTGAAGAGGCATCATGTCTGCAACCTACTCTTAAACAGCTCAGGAAGAATTGCATACACACATAGAAAGGGAGGACGACACAGATGGTAAAATCCTCACATTTGGGGAATCTAGGTGAAGGGTATTCAATACTTTCTTGGTGCTACTCTTGTAACTTTTCTGTAAGTCTAAAATTATATCAAAACCCAAAAGATCTTTTTTTTAAAAAGTGAGATGACACATGTAAATTGCTTTGCACAGTGAGTGGCTGGCACCCTGGAAGAGCTCCATGAATACAACTCATTAACCAATTGTTGATGTTGCTGTTAATATTAGAGATTGTCCAGGTTAACCCCCTTGGTAAAGTTGGGGAAACTGAGGCTTGAGAGCAGAAAGCCACCTGCCTGAGGCCATGCAGTGAGTGGAATGCCCTGCACTCTGCAGGGTGCCAGTAAGGGTTCTCTATATAGCAGGTGCCAATCAGGATGTGTCCACCCTCCTCATGTCTGGGGGCAGAGCTGAGATGCCCTGGGCCCAAGACTGTCACGTCTCCAAGGAACTGTGAGAGGCCTGTGACCCTTGAGTCAACCAGCCATTTTAGTAGGGACATGCTAGGTGGGCCTGGCCCCGACAGAAACATTAGGCAAATGTTCGAGGACCAACTTCATTCATTCATTCATTTCACTCCTATTCCCTTAGCAATTAAGTAACGCCAGGCCCCACTCTCATGGCACCCCCAGACTGGCAGGATGTCAGACTTTGACATTAATGATACCCCACATAAGCTTATAATTACACTGTGGGAATGCGGGGCAGGGTGGGTGGAGGGGGGAAGAGAGGGAGTCACTTGAGAACCCAGATCTGGAGGATGAGTGGGCGCTCACCAAAGGCATGGAAGGAGGAAAGGCATGCCTGGCTGAAGAACACAGCCAGGTGCCCAGGGATGAAGCTGGGGGAACGCTGAGTGCTTGGCCTCCAGGACAGAGCGAGGTGAGGCCAGGGCTGCCCGCCCAGGAGGAAACAGGAGGACTCAGCAGCATCCACTGAATGAGTAAAAGAAGGCGCATCCCGGTTTCCGGGCTACTTCCTCCCTCCACCTGGTCACCGCCCCCAGGGGCGGGGGCTCTGAACATGCCTGGCTGAGCAACCTCAACAAGCTGCCCCCCTGGCTGGTGGCAACAACTCCTGCCACGTGGGATGGTGATGGGGAAGGGGACAGCCAAGCCGGGAGCAGGAGTAGAGGCCCCTGGGGAGGACCCTCGGATGGGTACCAGAGAGGCAGGCCACGGTGACTTGACTGGAACTGAGTTCAGGGACATGCCAGGCAGATGAGTTGCTCCAGCCCCCAGTAGGGCACTGACACCAGTGATTATAAATAACTTGCCCAGCGCCTGGTCAGCTGCCAGGCCAAGGCCCAGGGAGGCTCCTGGGGCGACAGCTGCCACCAGCCCCCTGCATCCCTGCCCCCTTCCTGTGGCCCTAACACTGGGGGAAGGAGCTGACCATGGGAAGTCTCATAACTGGAGGAACCCCACAGCCCCTGCCCACACCTCCAGAGCCAGTGGGGGGAGTCGAGGGCTCCCTGCTTACCCCCACCCTTACCCCCAAGGCCCAAGGAGGAACCCCTCCCCACCACCGCCACAAGGAAAACCACGCGCAAATTTCAGGACCCTGGAGAAAGAGTCAGTGGCTGGCGCCCTCCCTGCCCACCCCGCTTGTCCCCGCCCCTCCTCCTCCTTCCCCAAAGTCCCCGGAGAACTCACACGACCAGGTACGTCAGGATGAAGAACTGCAGCAGCCTGTAGAGCAGGCCCACCTTCTTGTTCTTGGCGACGACATACTTCTCGGTCTTGTAGTCGAACAGCGACAGGAACAGCTCCTTCCAGCCCCTCGGCCCCATGGTGCCGGCTCACGGGGACCTGCGACCCGCCCGGCCCCACGTGCGCCGCATGGGGAGCCGCCGCCTCGCGCTCGCTCGCGCGCCCTGCCCGCCGGGCCGCCGGCTCGGCCGCGTCTGCACTGCAGCACCCGGCGTGGCGTGCGCGGCCCCAACTTGCATAGACGCGGGCGGCGCGGGCGGCTGCGGGGCGCGCCGCGGGGCTCCCGGCGGTGCGTGGCCGGCGAATGAAGCCTCGGCTGGGAGCCGGCTGGGGCGAGCGCGGAGCCGTGCACTGCGTGCGACCTTGCCGCCACCCCTTCCTCCTCCTCCTCCTCCTCCTCGTCCCCTGACACAGTGACACCACTGGACCGTCCTCCCCAGCCGCGGGCCTGGGAGACACTCCCGGAGTCCGCAGGACCGCGCGTGCGGCTGCCCCGCAGGGAAGGAGTGACAGGCGGGGGAATGGAAGGGGGAAGGGGGAAAAGGCTCCTTTTAAGGCAAAATCCCTCTTTCTGTCCTCTGGGAGAAATCTCAAAGGCTTCTTCCTATTTTTTTTTTTTTTAAAGACACGGTCTCACTCTTGCCCAGGCTGTTAGGGATGAGGGTAAGCAGGTGTCAGGGCAGGCGGTAGGAGGATGTGATCACGGGGCGAGGGTCTGGACCAATAAAAACAAAGAGCAGAAACCCCAACAGCGCGATAGCACTCCTCGGAAATTAAGGGGGGGCTAAAATCACACCCAACAGGTACACTACACTGCACACTGTCTGGGGGATGGGCACGGCACAAAAGCAATTTATATAACCAAATTGTTTGCACACCCGTAATATTCTGACAGCTGACATAAATAAAAAATAAGGAAAATATAATATCGTACAATGAAAAAAAAAAAGAAACCGCAACATCAAGAGCTTAAGGTTAGGGACTTTCCCGACTGGGAGCAAGCGCAGAAACTAGGAACTTAGGACCAAAGTTCCCTCATTAGCATAATAAAACACACACACACACCCTAGTGCCCTGACAGTTCTAGAGCCAGCCATAGGAGGACAGAAAATGGGAGGGTACATGGTTCTGGGAATCTCCACCCACTTCCCCCAAAAGATATGAATATTCCACCCAGCTTAACATATCATTAGTGATTAGCATAAAGGACAGACCCTAACCCTGGGATGATGCTGTTCCTTATTGGAGCAGTCCCCTCGCTACTGACCTTGAGAGTGTACTATACTCTCTATACTCTGTCTTTAAACTCAGGGTCATCTCCACTCACTGGGATAGACCTGTTCCTCTCTCTGGGGAATGACTTTCGCTTTGCAATAAAAGCTACTTGTGTGGAAGTGCTTCGTGTCTGTCATCACTGCATGGCACCAGCCCTGCTTGTGATTCTTCCAAGAAAGGAGCCACAGAACCAGGACAGCTCTCCCTAACCACACCTGACAGCTGGAGTGCAGTAGCAGATCACAGCTCACAGCAACCTCCGACTCCTGGGTTCAAGCAACCCTCCTGCCTCAGCCTCTGGAATAGCTGGGACTACAGGCATGCACCAGCATACTTGGCTAATTTTTTAATTTTTTTTTTTGCAGAGATGGGGTCTCCTATGTTGCCCAGGCTGGTCTGGGACTTCTGATCTCAAGAAATCCTCCTGCCTCAGCCTCTCAAAGTGCTGGTGCTGGGATTACAGGCCTGAGCCACCCCACTGGCCAGATTCTTCCTATTGAATGAATGGAGAAACTGAGGCCTGGGAAGGGAGTACCTAGCACAGTGGAGGTGAAGAGGGGATAAAGAACATTCACAGGTAAGCACAATAGGTTTCTTGATTCACCTGGTGCTAGGATCTACTGGGAGGCAGATGCTTTCTTGCTCCCCGGGGGAGCCCTGCCCCCCCACCACCACCACCACAGGCTGGAAGAGACAGACTTGTCTGACCCATGGCTGCCTGTTTTGGCTGTGATTAAGTGGGCGTTCCTAATGCAGCAGCTGCTGCAGATTTAAAACCCCACTCCCAGGAAGTCAGTTGCTAAACAGGTCCACAATACCCAAAGCATGAAGAACTCTGTCCCACACTCAGGGTGGATGGAGTGGGGGTGGGGAGACACAGGCAACCAAGGCCCAGGATCATAAAATATGCCTGGAGAGAATGCATGCACCAACTGTTTGGAATGATTCCCAAAGCAAAAGATAGACCTAATCCAGGCTGCTATGACAGCAACCCTCACAATATGTGAAATTAAAAAGAGAGAGGGTTGGGAGCGGGGATGAGGGAGGGCGTCCTGGAGGAGGTCGGCTTCAGAATTTGTGACAGCCATAGAGAGGCAGGGGCCTGGGAGAGCTGTGTGTGTGAGGAGCTGTGCACACCCATTTTCTGCACCTTGCGATCTGACCTCAAGCAGTCCTGCTCCTCCCCTACCTCTTGCATTCACAAGCAAAGAAGCAGCTCATCTTCCCTGAACTACAGGCTCTGGGAGTTTGAAGGGCCCTAAAGTTCCCCAAGGGTGGTCCTCTCTAAGCGTGGAAGCCCCAGGGGAGGTCTCCGGTGTCCGTGTGCTTGGGAATCATTTGGAAGGAAAAAGGCAAATTCCTGGGCCGTGGCTCTAAAATTCTCATTCACCAAGTCTAAAGGTGGGGCTGGGAATCTATTATATTTTGCTCTCAAATTGTCATTTGCAAAGCACGTATCTTTGCCCCTTTTCATCAGTTCCAACTCAAATGCTATTTCCTCAAAAAGGCCTGTTCTTTATAATCACCCACCAAAAGTAGCCCCAGCCCAATCACTTTCTATCCCTTCACCCCATCTTATTCCCTTAGAGCACTTGTCACTATCTGATAGGATCTCATTAACTTATTGACTGTCCCCCACTAAGACCAGAAGCTCCAGGAGGGCAGGGACCTTGCTTTTGGACATCTCCATGCCCCATGGCCAGCCCTATGCCTGCCACATAATAGCTCAGACATACTTGTTGGCTGAATGGACAAACCAGCCCTGATTATTTTTAAACAGGGGGTGGGAAGGCATTTGGAGCTGCCACTCTGTCCCAGTCATGACTGGAGATTTTAGAAGCTGAAGTCATCCTCACTCTCCCCTACTCTTGGGCTCTCCAACACTCCACAGAGCAGACTCCATGGAGCGACATCATGTTTGTGAAGTTGCCCGTCACCCTGAGGTACAGAGGGAAGGTGGACTTCCAGAGCCTCTCGGAGCCTCCCGAATTGCACCTGGCCTGGAGAAGAGCTCTAGGGGTGAGTCTCTCCACTCCCCAAAGGGAGTCCCGAGTTCTGTGGCTGGGGCCTGATCGTTCTGTGGTGGGAAACCTCCCCGCCCCCCCAGCAGAGAACAGGGCCTTCATTTTGCAAGACAGGGAGCTAAGTGAGGCCCCAGGTCACAGAGCAGAGCTTCTGGCTGGCCCCCATCCAGGGCACTCTCCTGCTCTTGACTCGTCAAACCTTTCCTGAGTGCCTACTGTGTGCTGCTGCAGAGGCGGAAATGCCTGGCGCCTCTGTGGCCTGACGCGACTGCCACTCTGGTGTCAGAGAAGGGGCCCTGCTCCGACTGGCCTCCGTGCCCTACCCAGCTTGTTAGAGTCATGACTTTAGTTTACTAGGGGAAGGAAGGAAGGAAGGAAGGAAGGAAGGAAGGAAGGAAG